AAACTTGTAATTCCTATCAGTCACCATTAAGTTGGGAATATTTCACTATATACTCCTGGATAGTACTCCCTTTAGGAAATTCTGCTGGCATGTAACCTTCCCATTCTTCTGGAACAAAATTCCTTTCCATCAATAAGTATGGCTCATCTGGTGTCTCAGTGGAGCTCTGAACCTATTCTGCTGGCAAGAACATACAAAAACCCCCCAAAAAAACCCCAAACAACAAAACAAAACAAACCTCCTTAAGTGAAATGCCACTACATGTACCTGTCTGCATCTAGTGTTACACCAGCACAAGTTATTCTTAAGCCTGGAGAGGTAACACTACTAAACTCAAAAGACATGCTGATTTGATGCTTTAGCAGACACAAAAATTCCCTGCACCTGAACTGAAGTCATGGGCAGCCTTTGGAGTGGTAAAGCAAAATCATGAAAGTCAAAACTGACTTGTACCTCCTAGGTCCTACCTTTCCTTCCTGAAAACATGCAGAAAGTTTATCACTGCTCTGAACCTATTCTGCTGGCAAGAACATACAAAAAACCCCCAAAAAAACCCCAACAACAAAACAAAACAAACAAAAAAAAACCCACCAAAAAAAAAAACACCAAAAAACCAAACCAAAACCAACAAAAACAAACAAACAAAAAAACCCACCAAAAACCAAACCAAACCAAACAAACAAACAAACAAAAAAAAAAAACCCAAAAAACCCCACCCCAAAACAAACCCTGAACAAAACTAACAAACCTCCTTAAGTGAAATTCCACTACATGTACCTGTCTGCATCTAGTGTTACACCAGCACAAGTTATTCTTAAGCCTGGAGAGGTAACACTACTAAACTCAAAAGACATGCTGATTTGATGCTTTAGCAGACACAAAAATTCCCTGCACCTGAACTGAAGTCATGGGCAGCCTTTGGAGTGGTAAAGCAAAATCATGAAAGTCAAAACTGACTTGTACCTCCTAGGTCCTACCTTTCCTTCCTGAAAACATGCAGAAAGTTTATCACTGCTCTGAACTGGAATGATAGGAAATTATCTGTTGCAGAGGTTGTACAAACGGTCTCCCCACAGCAGAAACTGCAATTCCTTATCTCCTAACCAAAGAAATGAATTTCACACTAACTCCAGCCTTGGAGGAAGCTCTGGTTTCAGCTAGGGTAGCATACATTCCTTCCCAGTAGCTGTTAGAGTGCTGTGTTTTGGATTTGGAACGCGAATGTTGTTGATAACACACTGATGTTTTGGTTTTTGCCAGGTTGTTTACCGTGAGTCAAGGACTTGTTTCCCCTTCTTTGTCTCATGCTCTGCCAATGAGGAGGTACACAAAAGAAACCGGGAGGGAGCATATCTGGGACAGGCGACCCAAACTAACCAAAGGGATGTTCCACAGCACAGAATGGCGTGCCCAGCATATAAACTGGGGGGGTTACTGGGGGTGGCTGATCTGGCTTTAGGAAGGTGGGTCTGGAATCGCTAGTGAGCAACTGCACTGAGCATCATTTGTTTGCTCATCAGGAGGAGATATCCCAGGCTGCCACTCCCATGCTGATTTCCTAAATAGGCTCAGAAGAGCTGAGATGTGATGTGGCTTCTCCACCAGGTAATGAAAAAGATCAGATTTAATTCAGTGAGCAAGATCTGTGAACTTGTGACAAATGTAAAGACCAAACATTTAGGCCCCGTGGGCTGTGAGGAACAAGATACTACCTTTGAAAAGCAAATACTCTGATACACAGAAGTGGTTGAAAACTTGAGACAAACCCAGATTTCATCTGGAATTACTGTACTGTGGCTGAGGTTAGCATTTAGTACTCAAAGACAGGAAACACAGCTTTCATGTGTTGTCACCATTCCTCACTTCTCTTTTGCTTCAGAGATGCTGTAGAAGCCTCTTCCTGAACAAATTCCATGACTTCTATTCAATATTGAGCCCATACCTCCAAGTCTCAACAGAGGTTAAGCTTTCCTGAGAGATGTTCTTCCTGAAGCAACACAAACATCTTCCTGATAACCAAGAAGGGAAAGGACCTGTACTAGATAGGCACTTGGATTCTGTTTATTGCTTCTTGGAAGACAACAAATGCATTTCTTAGAATTTAAGGTACCATTGAGCCCCAAAAAAGGAAGTAGCATTTTCTAAGTTAGCAAAGGAAAAGCAAACCAAATAACTGAATAGCAAAGGATAAGGCTCCTCCACAAAGATGCCCAACAAAATACTTCAAGGCTGTGAAAACACATGGTAGCAAGTCTTGACTTTTGTATTACTTTAAATAGCACCCTCATTGTATTTTGAAGACTCAGTGTATGTGTGCACCCCTGCAGATTCCACTAAGGCAAAAACAAAGCTCCAGTTCAAGAGCCTGAGGCAGCTGCATAGCCAATACAGACAAGCATACACAGAGTCAATAGGAAATTCACCTTCCTCAATTCTTTATTTCATCAAAAATTCCAACTGTGCAACATGTCTTACTCTCATGCATGTACTTCATACATGAGACTGACAGATCTAGATGTGTAGAGAACAGACAACATTTGGCATAACAACAACTGTTCTATGCTGGGGAACACCAGCCCTTGCAGTCAGCAACACTTTGAAATCTCTGCAGGGAAAAAAGCAATGACAATACCTCAGCAGTACACAAACCCCATGTTGTAAGCACAAAGGCTACAAGTCACTTTCTTACATAGATTTGGCAAATTCCCTGGGGGATCTTGTAGACAAAGCCAGGTAAAGGAGACTTGACATTCATCTGCATTATCTGTCATGACCAGCCTAGAGCTGCAAACACAAAGCAAGTAGCTTCACCTTCAGCACAATAAGAACGGGTGAGAGTTTAGATGGGAACTCACCCACACTTCAGGGAGATGAGCTACTTTTGAAAGCAGTGCTCATGAATGCTAGTTATTCTCATATGCTCATTAAACAGGCTAATGGAACTCCAGTTCTGGAACACCTGCATGGTGTTCTCTAGTGCTTTTGTTACTGAGTGCAACTTTGAGCACTTTTGTGTGGATGTCTAGCGGGAATTGGTACCTCTTTGATCAGGCAGAGTGAAACACTGCTATTGTTTGCAGTGCTCTTCACGCCACACTAGGTTCATCTCTCAACCCACGCAATAGCTGAGCAGTTTGTTAAAGCAAGACTGGAATTATACCCAGGAAAAATGGTTGAATCAAAACTACTTGTCTCATATCAGTACCACAGTTTAAGATTACTTTGGCTCCTTCATAAAGATGTCACTTTATTTTTAAAATAGATAGCTGCAGCTAAAGCTACTGTTCTACTACTATACCTTCTTTGGGCAACAGTACTTAACTGCAATGAAGAACAGGAATAGTTGACTGCTTAAAAATTCAATATTAAGGAACTAGAAAAGCCAATATAAGTGATCCAGACAGCTTTTAAAAATAGGTAGAAAGGGAGCGTAGTTTTTAAAGCTTGTTCAAATTGAGAAAAAGACACAGAGGCTTTTGGATTAACCCTGACAAGTTCAGTGGGGACAGGCAAGAAGAGCTCTCCAGGTAGGACCTGGAACCAACCTGTAAGGCTGACAGTGATTCACTCGGTGCCCTTTGCCTTGATCAAACGATTAACAGGGTAAAAGCAACTGCACAAAGATGCTCTGTGCTGGCTCTAGCACACAGAGCAACCCCATCTCCTGGTTCTATTTGTTCTCGGTTTCTTTGACTAAAAGAAGGCAAGAGGATTACAGCTGGTCCATTAGGAGAGCAATCAAATGCTGCTTATGTTACAGAGAGCCAAAGCTGACATTGTTTCTGGGAAATGCCAAATGTGCTACAATTCTCACCACACAGTCCAAAGAAAGGGAAAAAAATCTAAGCTTTAAGATCTGAAAAAAAGTACAAAAAGTTTTCTGCAGGGCAAAATTTACATGTTTTAAACTGAGGGGAAACTGAAATAACAAATACCTAAAAAAACAAACCCCACAAAGAAGAAAGATGATGGGTAGAGTATAGCAAAATTGTTATTGTTAGGACCAGCGCTTGAGATAACTTGACATGACTTACTAGTTCTCTCACAGTACTGGTATCCAATCCTTAGCATTCATCTTCCAGATGCATGAATGCGTGAATTTCTGTAAATAAGAGATTACCAATACTGAGCAAAATGAAAACTGGAACAGCACTTTGTTACACTATTTCAGCTGCCTCTAAACAAACTACATTGTCAAGTTCTATGGTTAAGGCAGTTTGTCTCACAAACCTTTGGGTATAATGGTCCTGGGCTGGTTTTGGTACACCTCATTCTTTATCTTCTTTTTTGAAACACTTTCAAAGGCAAAACTAAGTTTATTCTTTAGTATGAGAGGCATTTATTACATGTAAAGTTCTACCTTTTCTTATTATAAAGGAAGAAAACTTACACTCTCTTTGTGAAAAGATCTGTTTCAAGAGACAGTTGAGATCTACTTGGAGAACACTTTAGTAAGAACTTAAGTTTTTAAAGATCAATGCATATATTAACAGCTTTAAGTAACAGAGTGGGAAAACCTCACTCACCTTTGTTAGAAATCAGATACTCTATGCCTGTGTTTGCTGGTAGATGATGTATTGCTCTCGAAGTACCAGAAAAGACCTGAGAGGGTTTTTTTGATTCTTTCAGGTCAGGCTGTCAACTGCATGATTGCTTTAAACAAAACACAGGCTTACTACAACAGGTTTGCTGCCTACCAGATCACGTTGCACATTTGCAGCTGGTACAACACTACATTTTATAAGTTAAGAAATGCAACTGCATCTGAACATGAAAAACATTTTAAAGTCAAGGTATGTATATTTACTGTCACACAAGGAATGCCATTAAGTTTCCATTCTACACACTCAGGTGAAAAATTTGTTAAAAAGTCAAGAAACAGAAAAGCATAAAATCTGTAATAGGCAACAATATACAAAGTTTCATATATAAAACTGTGACTTGTATAGTTTGTTATTTTCATCTTTTCACAAGAGAAAATTAAAAGAACCACACATCACTGAACTTCTACACAAGCTTCTTGTGTTTCAATGTCATTTATTGAGGAGTGAATGAGATACTGTCAGACATGCCAAAGAGACTTCACATTCAAGGGCTGGAAGCTGAACAGCTTTCCTCATTGAGTCACTGTACAAGTTGTTTTTGGGAATCGAAAGTGCGATCAATGAGGTCTTCATGCTCGATGTTTGTCTTCAGTTTTTTCATCTTTTGATCTACTACCTTGTTGGGCAGAAGGACACTTTCTACCCTACAAAGACTCACACTCCAATTCATACAATTAACACTAGATGTAGAAAGGTTTATCTGTTATAACGTACATCTACTGCTGAAGGTCTTATGTCTAATGAGAAAATTCAACTTGTTTCCCTTTCACCATCGTATGGATGGCTGATACCGTTAGAAAAATACTCTTCAGTGCTATTGTAGGGTTTACAGGAAACTTCTTTCATGTTGTGGGATAGAAACTGATTTAAACACCGTTCTGAAAGAATGCTTCTTCCTGCTGCCACTGCCTGGAGGTTGCAGAAGAATGGCCTACACGCACTACAGTTCTGGTTTTACTCAGAAAAGAAACAAAAGAAACCTAAACAATAGGGTAAACGTTTATTTGGAGTTAGTTTTCTTGCAGATGATAATTAAGGCCCTTCAAGCAGAGTTCAGGAGCTCCTGTATGGCTGCCTGTTGATCTGCATTGAGCTGTGATATGCATTCTGTCCACAGTCCTCCGGATGTCTAGAAAAAAAATGAGAAGTGGTCTTTATGCAGGCTGAAAGTGTACAAGGCACATCCTGAACTTTGCTATGTTTACAAAGCTCAACATTCACTCAGCTCATTCCTGTAATATACATGCCAAAGAAATACATGAAATCTTCAGTGCTACACAGGTTCAACTTGAGATGCTCCAAAAGGCTGAACAGCAGCAGAATAATTGATTTGGAACTCCTGGGAACTCTCTGTGACAACTACATGGGATAACAAATGACACTCATGTCTGTGTCAACCACAGCCTAAGCCATGTGATCATTTTGCACTAAAGTTAAAAGACCAATGTTCAGGTAAAACTGCATCATGCTTCTTCCACATGAGTGTTTTGGGCACTGGTGCAGCAGTAACAGACTCAGAGCTTCAAGGTGAGCACTGGGATTACAGCATCATGTGCTACATGAGGGTGTGCAAAGTTCTGCTGCCAACAGTGGGGCATGGTTCTGCAGTGAAAGGAAAGGTCAGCTACTTCCCAGAGAGAACTGCACAGCATCTGTCTGGGTAATGTAAACCCTTCATCTGTGCTACCACAGCCCTCAGCTGAGACATTAGCTTTTAAAGTCACCATCAGTGAGGACTGCTCTAATGGCACCAGAAAGTGCTGAATATTAATCAAGATTGAGGAAAAAGTATTTATTCACTTATCAATAGAAACTGGAAGCAATTGGCACCCTACTTTCTTTAGGATAATGACAGGGAAAAAAGTTCCAGGTGACTGACTTTAGGTCTTTAGATTGGCTTTTGCAATAACTGCATAATTTAAGTAAATTAAAAAAAAAGTTTAATTTATATTTGTTATTTTTTACATTCAAGTTCTATTATAGTGCCCTTTTCTCAAAGTTTAAAAAGTTTAAAAAATATAAAAATGGATTAAAAAAATTCAAAAAGAAATGCTCTCAAATGTAAGTTTGTGGGTTTAGTTTTAACTACCATTAGGTATTTTAGACTTTTCATCGCTGATGAAATATTGCAGAATTAAATGCAGTCTTTCCAGCAATTCTGATGCACATTTAAATTGATACTTTACACTGAAATATTTCTGGCCTGACATTACCTAAGCAAAGAAGTTCAAATAATGACCATGTTGATCATGTTAGACACTGGCAGTGAAACAGCTTACTGAGATCATTAAAAAAAAAAAAAAGTCTCCTGGAATCTGGGAAGCAGGAGCTTGTTAGCAACTCCACAACCTTGAAAATTCCTATCATAGTATAACACTCTGATAGTTAGTAAGAATACCAAAGTCTTACAGCTTTACTAAAGTCAAAATACTGTGTGTGAAGAGAAATAGGATTGGTAACACTGTGCTAAAATTGTATTTTTTAAAAAACATGACTTAAGATTTTGTTTTTCTCCTCAGTCCAAAGGTAAATCATTCAAACAATGCTTATGGTGTTATATTAAAGTTTCTATCAATCCTGGACAGAACCAGACGTTGTTTTACACAACTAATCTATACATGTATGTGCCACTGTATTGTTAAAAAAAACAACCTTGATGATTTGAGGTAAAGTGAACAAATGCATTAGGTAAACCCTAATACAAAGGTGCATTCCTAGACTTTGAGTACTAACAGCAAGGATTTGTATCTGTCAGGCAGAATCTAGAGCAGTCACACTACTTTCACTTTGAAACTTGCTCAGTTTCCTTCTATTTATGCCTTTGGAATTTTAACAGCTTTTTCTACCAGACAGAATGGATCTCTCAGGCTGACACATGCATACAGGTGAATTGATTCCAATATCAAGTGTTCCGAAAATTCTTGAATCTGAATTTTGCCAAAGCAGGTCAGGTAGAAAGCCAATAATTGAAGACCAGCTGCATAAAATCTATGCTTTTTTATGAGCAAGATGTTTACCTGGCACCATTCTCTCATTAGTACTATACCCACCCAACAACATTTAGCCCTGGAACAAATCTGCACTATCATTTGCAGCACTGTAGAGAAGCACTGTTTAAGTACTTGGACATCCCTACCATCATTGACTCATTATGGCATAAAGGAAGTGAACCTTACAGCAGGTCCCCAAAGGCAGGGAAAACATCAAACAGCCACCTATATTTGCACAGGATTGAAAAGGGCAGTAGTAAAATAACTTGTAGTTTGCACTCGTTCTCTAACAAAGAACCCAAGCTGCTGCTGTACTAGAAAGTCACCACAGGATGCTGGTGACCCTTACAAGAACAACATCTTGGATAAAATCCTGCAGTACCGTTCACTGATAAAAGGACACAAAGATTTCTCTCCAGATTCTAATTTCTGACTCAGAAAAAAAACCCACAAAAACTACTACTGGCTCACATATTAATCATCTTGCTGCATGAAAGCTAGTTATAGTTATTTTATTCAAGTGCAAATGTCACCAAGTTTTATCATTAATCATTCAAGGAACATCAAAGGTTCTCCAAGATCACTGGTTGAACCATTATTCTCTAAGGAGATAAGGCTCTCAAAACTGGTTTAATAGTTTAGTTCCTTCTGCAAGCAGATTTTGAATGTTCCCTTTATACTTCAGCAAGCATTTATTTACCTGCACTTGGCGAACAACGTTAGCCAGCCGCTTGGTACATGGATCTTCATGTTTGATAGCTTCGTGGATTTCACCATCCGCAATTATACCAAGTATTCTGGGAAGGTTGGAATTGTTGGGACCGAGGACAATTGGGTTATTGCTGTTACAAAAGATATGTTGCAAAGGAATTAATGTTTATCTAAAAATAATGTAAACACTTTACACGTAAGTGAAGTGATTTTGAATGATCTTATTCTAAAGCTGCTTATTTAGGTTTCACACAGCTGAATAAGTACGCACAGCTTTGTTGCCTGCTGACAGCATGTTCTCCCTTCTGTTAATATTTAACCAGCTGATTCTTTACTCAGCCTAAACTTTATCAGGAAGAAGTTCTGAACTTTACAGAATGGCTGAGTTCCATGCAGATGGAACTGAAAATAGTGTGACAGAAATACCCTGCCTAAAAGGACTTATTCCTCTCTCTGTGCCTCCCAGGACACTGTGTTACTGGAGTCAGGAGTGCTGGTAACTTCAGCTCTCTGCCAGCACTCTCCATGACACAGCAAGCAAGCAGTTCTGCTCCCTCTTTCCCAGCCAAATGCTGGAGTGGAGGAGTATTAGCAACCAGGAATTTGTGTGGAACACATGATCTGCTTCCAGCCCTGCCCCCTACCATTGCTGGAATGCAGAGGCTGTGAATGTAGCACTGGCAGAGCTCCAGAGAAGCAGGTAGCCAGGCTGAGCCACCTGCACAGAGGTGGGTACAGAAGTGTGTTAGTGCTGCAATTCTCAATTTCTATGCTCCTGTTCACATGCACACCTGGCAGCATTATTCTGGTGTCTCTCATCTGTATCTCACTGTTCTACAATCAGTCTAGGGACCTCAGTTGCCATTTTTGAGACTCTGCCTTAATAAAGCACCCAGAGATACAAGGTATTCACAAAATAGAAAAGACTGTAAGAAATCTAAGTTCCTTCCCTTATATTTTTCTCCTAAGATGTAATACAGAGCCAGCAACAATCTGCTTACTACATAACACCTCAGAGGACACATTTTTTCACTCCTTTATGAAGTGCATCACACTAGAATAACTGTTTACCTTTTTTCTTCCATTTTACCTACAGGAGGGAGCACAAACCCTAAGAATAAACTGTGGGATAAGATGCTTTCAATGATAGCTGAAATAATTATTAAGGGAGATAGCACTGTACAATGAATTGTTCCATATTATTTCTCTACTTTATACTTCACTTTGCTGGAAAGTAAAAGGGTGCAAAGCTACTTAAAAGAAAGCTGCAAGAGTATGTGTGCTGTTTGAAGAGAAAAAGCCTGACCAGTTACTGGTCATGATATGTAAACAGAGTATAAAAAAAATTTCCCGAAATTTTCTGTAAAAGTTTTTTGCAGATCCTTTGTCATTATGGATATATAAAGCAGCTAGGATTTTTTTTTCTCAGCCATACAGACACTATTTAGGACAAGAACAGTAACTGTTTAAAAAAGCAGAAATAACATCAGGAAAGGCTCAGTTCTGACATTTCTAATTATCTTCTCTAAACTATATGTAGATTAACCTCCTAGTTTCTCAGTTTTGGAAAAAGAGGGCAAGGAAAGAACATGCAAGCATGCATTAGTGAAGACTTTGCCTTACCTCTCAAGTAAGTCACACAGATAATTGAAAGTATGAACAGCTTCTTCTTTGTCTTCATGAAGTGGAAGCCATGATAACCAGTGTGGAAGGACTTCTTCAACATTTATACAGTCAGGTTTGAACTTCATTATCTTTCCTATTGCTGAAATGCAGTTTTCTGTTGCATTGACATTCTCTTTGGCTTTGGCATCTGGTGACTGAATGACTCTCACCAGCAATGGAAGCGCCTCTAATTGTTAAAAACACAAGAATGAAGTTTAACTGCACAATCAAGCTATACTTTATTATTATCACAAATTCTGCTTGGGATGATTGCATGTATTAAAACCAAGGTTTTTTGTGTTACAAGCACTAAAATCTAGTCATTCCAATGTTCCACCGCTTCTAAATTCTTCTCTGCTCAATAATTACCATATGAAAACCAAACAGATAAATAAAGCTCTGCAAAGAAACAGAAGAAAACAGCCACTACAAAAGCTTGAATTTGCTTTAGAAGTTCAGAAGAAAATTATGTTCCCATGTCTCTCAATTGGAGTTATGCAATCTAAAACACACAGGACACTGTAGATGGTAAGCATTATCTCTTTCATTGAATATGGTCTATAAACAGAGGAGGAGGAAAAGCATTGCTACACTGACATTCACTGTGAATGTCACTCCTTCATTCAGTGTGAACTATAGTACACATCCTCAGTGTATGCCTGCTGTGTATCTACTGCTAGTGGGCACATCTGAATATAAAAATATGTATGGATGTACACATACACGCTTCCCACCACTAAAAGGTGCCCTAGGAAAAGGTCATAGGAGTAATCTCACCTGGTGAATCAACTTGGCATAGTTTAGATCATAAAAATCAAGGAAAGGAAATGTCTTTCAATGGAGGAAATATGCCAGTTTTCTTCCTAGGTTAATAGCAATTATATTTTTTTTCAACAGTCATGTGGATGATCACACACATCCTTCTAAATGAACATTAATGTCACATTTTTTGCTACTAGTGTCCATGCAGACTTCCAAACACACTATACACAAGCAGGAACAATTGTCCTTGTGTTCTGCTAAAAATAAAATGCTAAATGTGTGAAATTCTCTATCAGCACAGTAAGCAGGTAATGGAATTGTACAGAAAGAACACTTCAAAATAACTCTAATTACTGAGGAAGAGTAAGATCTCACACTTCTGAATTTTGATGAGTAAGTAGAAGCTTTGCAGTTAAAGAATACACAATCCACTTTCTATATTAAGTCTGCTACATTAGATTTGTGACAAATTAAGCAGCTATGGAAAAGCTGTTAAACATTACAGAACTACAGAAACATCAGACCTGCTAGCTTATGTGTGTTGAATGCAGGATAATCATGCTGGACTATTCTCCAAAGCAGAGTTTGTTTCAGAGAGGTCTACAATGTCTGGGACAACTGAGCCTGCATTTTATACCTCAGGTTTTCACGACTGCTGAAGCTAAATCTCATCTCATTTATATCCTACTCACTAATACAGTGACTCTGTAGGTATGTGTGTCCTTGCAACTGTAAAATCAGGAGGGCATTAAAATGAATCAGCATAATTTTCTCCCTACAGCCCAGACAATTTTTCATCTTGTCTATAAAACAGATGCATTCTCACATATATACTGTGTTAGATAGACCTTAAAAAAGTATTTTGACAATGGAAGACCCATCTTCTATAATGTTATGCTTTTCTCCAAGGACTGACTGCTCTGAATCTGGCACCACCCAGTTTTGAGGCTACTGATGTAATTTAGGAAGAAATCCATGCAGTTGATTGATACAATTTTCACAGAGAACAGCTAATTATATTCTTCCACCAACAGAATACAAGCAACCTTGCCAGTTTGATCAAGTGTAACATTGTATCCCCACTGAGAAAGTGACTTGTTTTGCTGTAGTTTTTCCTTCCATCATGGTTCTTTGCTCTTTATGAAATCTGCTTTTCTCCAAGGACTGACATCAGGTAACTCGCATGCCATTTACAAGTTCTTGCTATATTCCCCTGGACTCTAAATGACTGCCAGAAATGCTTATATCAAACCTCTGCTTTTTCCAAAAAGTATTTACATACTGTTCAAACTTGCAAAAGAACAATATGCCAGTGCTATACATCAACTAGTAAAGAAAATAAGTTAAAAATAAAAGCCCACACACATGATGTTTTTCAGAGATACAGCAAAACCTGGGGTAGATAATGTCTCATGACATGGATTTGTTTCTAATCACAGCATATCTTCATCTGTTAAGATAAATCACAAAGTTCTTTCATGTATGCACTAAAGGATTTAGAATACTTTTGAGGTATCTGCTAATAAACTGTATGCTGTAAAGCTGAAAGTTTATTTTACCTAAAATTCCACTTCAGGAGAAGCCAGGTGTCTGGGCATAATCAAGGATTATTTGTCCAAGTACAAAGAGAAGGATCAAAGATTTTACAAAGTTTAAGTGGGGTAAGATAAAGTGTAATTAATGAAAAATAAAATTAGACTTTAACAGATGCTAAAAAGCTCAAAAAAATTCAAAATCAGAACTGTCTAGACAATTCTAAATTTTCATGCTCTTAATGATTCATTGCAAGGCTTCCCACACTGCTTTTCCTTTTCTTTTCAAAAAGACACCTTATTCTGATTGTTATAATGTAACAGTTATATTAAAAATGAAAATTACAACCCTGATGGATGTAGGCAAGACTTGTGTCAATCCCTATCAGATGATTCTTATTTTCTTACATCACCTAATTCAGCTTTCATTTAATATTAATGTGAAACACATATTTTAAATACATACTTAGATGACTATATATTTTCTTAAAAAAAAAACAACCCTTTGATAGGGGGTGCTACTTAGTGCGCAAATCTCAAGAAAATTAAATTTCTCAAAACAGTTGTGTCTGTCAGTGATCCTGAGTCTTGCAACACAGATTTTAACAGCACACAGCGACCCTGCTCAGAAAGCACAGGGTAACAACTTCATCCTTGAAGTAGAATAAACCTTCTATTTTGTAAAACAGTAATTGCTACATTTTATCTACCAATTTCTCTACAATTTCAGCATGTAAGGCATATTTAATGCATCAGAAAAAAATAACTAAATTCAAATTAAAGAAAAACAAGGTACTTACAATTAGGTTGACAATTAGTGGAAGTAACCTTTCAAACCATGGCAGTACCTTCTCCTTGTAACTACTGAATATTGAGTGCAAAATATCTGATACTTTAGTCAAAATATAAACATCACTGTCATCCTGAAAGAAAAAGGATACAATTCACATGAAGACTAATAATCTTTAATGGAGTGGAACTCACATAAAGTGTTAAGGTGTCTAAACTAATGGATAAAAATGGGTTTATAACTTTTTTGTAGTCCCAAAACCAACTTTTTTTTTTTTTTTAAAGTTCACTAATTTTCAATTATTTGTCTAACTGCAGAATGATAGAATAAAAAAATGGTTTGGGTGGGAAGGCACCTTAAAAATCATCTTGTTCCAGTTCCCCTGCCATGGGCAGGGACACATCCCACCAGCCAGGGACACTTCCCACTAGACCAGGTTGCTGAGAGCTCCATCCAACCTGGCCCTGATCATTCCCAGGAATGTGGAATCCACATCCTTCTCCAGGCAACATGCTGCAGTGTCTTGAGGGACATCACTTGTTACTGTCATGTGGATATTGAGACACTGAATGCAACTTTTTTAACATGGCCATCCAGTCACTTCTTATCTGCTGAATTAATCAATACGGATCTCCTCCAATTACTGACAAGGATGTTGTGTGGGACCCTCTTAAAGGCCTTACAGAAGTCAAGACAGATCACATCAGTTGTTCCTTAACCCATCACACAGTCACTCCATCACAGAATCCACTAAATTAATCAGACATGATTAGCATTTTGGAAGCTGTGTCAGCTGTCTCTGATCACCTCCCTGTCTTCCACAGCTGCCAGGAAATGTGTTCAAAGATCGCTCTGGGCAGAGTGAGACTGACTGACTGGTAGCTCCAGGAGCGCTCCTTTTCACCCTTCTTAAAAATGTAAGTTGATTGCTAGAACTCAGTGGCCTAGGACTTGTTTCAGGGCCAGAAAAATCAAATTAAGACAAAACTGTCTTGTGCAAATTTGCTGCTTCAATGGGTTCCCTTCACAGAAGGCAAAAGGCCTTTTTCTTCTTCTGTACCTTACCTTAGATACCCTAGGAAGCTTTTATGGAAAAATAAATGGATAACTGCCTTTGTGACAAAGATTGCGGCAAAAATATAACAAATATTATTCTCTTTCTCTTGTTGTTTAAATTAATTGCTCACCTTGCCCGGTTAATATATCAAACTGGTTAAATAAAGAGCTTTACCTCAAAGCTATCAATTCAAGTACATGTGAGGATTATTCCCTGGACATACTTATGCTGGGAAAACCCTTAACTTTCTTCTACAGCAACTTCTGTTGTACTCAGTATGGTCCCTTTAACCAGTTTATACTTCAACAGGCAGGGAAAACAGTACAGCTAGTTTCTGGTCCCTAGCGACCTTCGCCTTTCTCACCTTCTGGTGACAAACTAGTAACTATTTCTTGTGCAACAGGCAGCTTCCCACAACTGGATATTCAAACCCTTCCTAGTGAACCAATTTCTGCATCATCAAGGCACAGCTCAAGCAGGAACCCTGGAACATGCACACAATGACATTAAGAACTGCTCCAGCACACCACAAGGTCCACCTAGCCTGGTACTGCCTGTTGATCAACAGTTGATTACAGATGCTTGGGGAAGAGAGTGTAACTCTGGCTTGGTGTATGCCTTCTGCTCTCTACCAAATCAGCAGTTTAGTTATTGCTAAGTGAGAGCTGGATCTGAAACTACTGTTTGAACTTTCATGACTTCTGTGCTTCTTATATTTCTGCTGCCTTGAGGTACGGGCTACATAAACATACTCTGAGACCAAAGCTGTACATTCAAATGTTATTACTCAATTGTTAATTCTGTCCAAATGGCAAGTGATGTCCTCATCCCACACCTCCTTTCACAGGGTAATGCAGCCAAGTCTTTCTCCAGACTTTACAGAACAATCAGAAAACATTACAACATTTTTAAAAATGCCTTGCAACTCTGTTGCAGAGTAGGGACTCAGCTTTTCTGAAACTGCTGCCTGCTTGCATTTTCTCTCAGTACAGAGTGACACACAGGAAATAAAAGAGTCTTGGAGGCAACAAAAATATATCCTCTTGAATGCTGGCCTAATTCTAAAAAGCCTAAAAAGAGGGTCAAGAACCACACTGTTATTTAAGACAGTATTTACATATGGGCATGATTTCTGGAGTCTGCATACAAGTTAAACTCATGTGATCAAGCTTCATATCTGCATTGTGCAGCAAAAAAATTCCTTAGTTCTTAAATTTACTGAGCATCCTTTGTCTCATGTTGTAAGCAGCAGTCATTCGTTATTACTCTCTCTCCATACTAATAATGATTTAATAAAATTATTGTATCTCTTCTACAATCACATCTACTTTAAACTATTAACTCACTTTTGTACCCTAGCGTGCAAGTAGTTAAGTAATCACTTTGGTATTCCCTCATAAGCAAACACATGATGGCAGCTGTTTATCCTGCTGTCTTTTTCTGGTTTTGGGCTATTCTTTTTGAGACAGGCTACTGACATGACACACCAGATGTCTTGGGATCAGAGGTATAGAGGCCCAAGGTTAAGAGTCACCCAGCTTGCAAGGCTCAAAGAACAAGCAAGTCAGCAAGGCTAGACCTAAGGGACAACCTCATTGCAATCTACAGCTTCCCCGCTGGGGGAAGAGGAGGGGCAGGCATTGATTTCTTCTCTCTGGTGACCAGTGACAGGACCAAAAGGAATGGTCTTAAGTTGTGTCAGGAAAGGTTTTGGTTGGGTATTAGAAAAAGGTTCTTCCCCCTGAGGGTGTTTGGGCACTGGAACAGGCTCCCCAGGGAAGTGGTCACAGCACCAGCCCGACAGAGCTCAAGAAGCATTTGAACAATGTCTGAGGCCCATGGTGTGACTCTTGGGATGCCCTGTGATGAGGCAGGAGTACAGACAATTGTGGCTCCCTTCCAACTCAGCTTATTCTGTAATTAAGTAGTCTGCTGTCAAATCTGTATTAGTGTTAATGTCATCCAAGAATTATTTGAGCAGATGAAGAAAATAAAAAGCTATATCCTGAACTTCTTACTTCAGCCTATCAGACAAGGAAACCTTTCAGATTTTCTAATTCAAAAATGTAGTGTGACCCATTTCTTACTGTTTTGAAGGGCTATGGTAACAAGATTCTTTTATGAAAAAATAATTCTGAGGACACACTATGCCCTAAATGACTCAAAAGCATATTTCTGCAATATTTCCATCCTGGTGCTTGTAGAGCAGAAAAACTCTTCAAACTAACTTACTTCATCTTGTAATGACTCTTCAACTTGCTCATCATAGTCTTCATCTTGTCTTTTCACTAAATTAAAAGAAAAAAATTAAACCACTGCCTTTCTATAAGTGCGTAAGAAGCCTGTGAAAGGAAAAAATTATGCAGAAACAAATTTAGAAAACAGGAAACAGTAGCTGAAGATGCAACAGGAATTTTCCATTTTTAAGAAGTTTCACAAAACTTTCAAGGAAAAGGAAGAAGTACAGGATAGTCCCGTTTAAGAATGTGTAAAAATGCACATGAAATAAAAACAAACACACCAGCTTGTCCACAAAGACAAGACAAGAAAAGTGCTTAGAAACAAGAAACTACTACTGCTTTGAGAAAACTGCAGACTTCAGAAGAAAAAAAATCATGGAAACGGTAACACCATAGATGTGCACCGTCTTTCAAGTAAATCTGACACTAACTTCTGATTAAACTACTGTATTGCTGAAAATGATGCCATCTTCATCCTCCAAGAGCTTACAAATACAACTCAAGGATTCTGTTGGTTCACAGTCCAATTACTTTACATAAATATACAAATCAATGAAACTGAAACAGATTTTTTCTTTGTGTTCAGAAATAATTAGAAATTGTGCTTTAAAGAACAGCCACATCCCATGTTAACAGGATTTGTGTTAACTTACCCTGTCTTAATTCTTGATTTTTAAAGTGCTCTTCTAGTTTTTCTTTCAGTATTCCTCCAAGTTCTTCAAAGTGTTCGTTGTTAAGGCATCCATCTCCCATTACCTCAATGCACTTGTGAAACAAAACAACCAGTTTGTCAGCTTTAAAATTTAACATGAGCGGTCTTAATGAAATCTAAGCACACAAAGAATATTAATACTCTGGATCACTAGCAGGAATAATATTAGAAGAACAGTCATACTGTAATCAATGCTCAAATTATACAAGTAAGGCACAGCACCATTGTACATTTCATACTTGTAATTTCAGTTGCTTGTGGTTAAAATGAAAAAAATTGGTAACTGTTTTAGGTTACTACTCTGGTATTCTTGCAAAACAAAATACAACTTTTTCCAACAGCTGTAACAACATTTATAGTCACAACAAATTTCCTGTAGAGAAAGCCTTGCATTTATTCGAGCCATTTAAAGGAACACCAAACATGCCCCTTCTTATTTCAAAAAGCTACAAACAGTAACGCCATGAAATTTGTAAGAATGTTACCTTTGCAAAAGAATGCATTATTTCTGAGAGGACATCAGACTCTGGCTCTGTCCCAATGGCTTTGATGAGAGCATCACACATGAAGTGCCACATCTGCGTCAGGTACTCCGGCCCACGAACCCTGGCACATTCAAGGAGGAGGGGCATCGACTCTGCGGCTGCCACTCGGACACGTGTCATAATTAAGGAAATACAGCAATCAACACCAACCAAGTGCTTAGAATTTAAGACCCCACCACCATAATGAAGTTCCTAGTTTCTTACCCGAAACTCATTTCATTACAATCCATGCATTTGATTTCTTAATTATATATAGATTAAATCATAGGAAAATTACACTGCCTGCTCTTCAGAAGTGGTTTCAAGTCTGTTTCAGGATATGACAGAAAAGCTGTTAAGTTCTCTTCTACTTTGTTACACAAACATCACTCTTTCTACAGATTGCTCATTTAAAAACAAACTGGGGGGAAAGTAGGAATACATTGCCTAAAATAGGGTGTGTAAACCAGCATTCTCTGAAACCATTTCTGCTACAGTCACAGACTATTTTAACACTAACAATTTCAATTCATTTAGGAAAACAGCAAGCACAATTTTGATTCTAAGTTTCTGTTTTCACAGTGGAATTTGTTAATAGGATATCATCATGGAAATAGAACTTCAACAATGGAACCATCAGCTTTACAACTTGCTCTGTGTATTCCACAAATCCTTCTTTTAGCTCTTTTGCATAGCAAACCTGAAAAATAGAACACAGATATGCCTCTTTTAAGGGATAATACTTACATTTTTCAACTATGTAAAGGTGAGAGGGAGATTGTTAAAAGTGCAAGGGTTTTTTTAGCTTATTGTAAAAAACATGGAATAATCCATTTCCCTTCCCCCTCAACTATGGTAATTTGAGAATCCCTGATAGCAGCATGGGTTGTCACTCTTAGGGCATGCATGTATTTTTCAACCCAAATTCCAAAACAGCCATATTTGCAAAAAGGAACTACTTCTTAACATATCCGATTTCTTTAAGTTTTGCTAACAAAGGAAAATCATCTGTTCATTTAAAAAATCTTACACTCCTAAGTAAATAAACCATTTTTAATCAAGTAAACCACACACAACTAAGTGCCTAGTAATCCAAACTAAGCAGTATCACCCCAAACACTCTTTCATGTGAGACAAAAAAGAATATTTTGGTTACAGATTTTGGCTTCAGACTTGATTGACCAGAAACACATAGATGACCAAAACCATTTTATTACTCACCAGCATTTGGCACGCAGTTGCTTTTTCTTCCAGACCTGCAGTTTTAATTCCAAAACTCTGCTGATCACCTATGCTTACAAACTCCCAACCATCATCATCGCTCATGTTCTCCATATCTTGTGCTGTTATACAGAGGGAAGGAAAAATAATCAAAAAGTGCTACAAAATCATTTATTTCAGAGTTCTTTACAAGCAAAACATCATCTTAAACCTACTGTCTAAAAGAGCTACTTCAGGTTTAATGGATGCAGTCTTCATTAAAGGTCCCATGACAACAGGAAGATACTGCTGAAATTCCTTTCCAAGAATTTTACACATTCTGGCCCATGCAGAGATCATGTAAGAAATCTAGAAGAGAGAAGGCAGAATTTTCATGTCCCACGTTTTATTTTAATGCATATTTAAAAGGAAAGCATAAAGGAAATACATTACACAATAGGACTTTGCAAAAGAATTTGTCAGCAGTCCCTAAAGCTTATTTCAAAGAGAAGTAATCCAACATGCAATCCACATAAAAATGCATCTTCAAAAGACATTCCAAGTCTAACAACACCTTGACAGCACCTCTGATTGAAGTTGCTATACATGTAAAAATGTGATAGTGTAAGATTCATGATTGCATTGCAAGTGCCTGTTCTAAAAAATACTTTTTTTTGGTGAAATATTTCCCAGATTTGAACAGTACTACCAAGCCATGTTCCTAAAAATAGTAAAATAGAGCAAAAAATAAAAAAGGGTGCAGTACTATGTTTTCAGAGGAGTATTTGTTTTCAAATACACAAGCTAAAATAGCTCTCTACTCATTAGAACAGCTGCTTAACAAGTCTTGTTGATCTATTTATAAGAAGGTGACAGCAAGCTCAAATTTCTTCTGCAAATCTAGGTCCTGGAAGTCTCATTTCCTAACCATGCTCCCGTGAAAGATTCTAGGGCCATCTCAATGTCAGGTTTTGTAAGACAGGCTGGACAACTAGCCTGAAAGGCCAGGGAGGGGGCAGAAACATCATGTATACAAGGAATGTTTTTAATACCAACGAGCTACAGAGACACAATTTTAACATACCTGTGGATCATCATCTTCTAGATCACTGAAGTCTGTTTGTGTCTTCAATAACAGCTGCATTACATCTGATGCATCCTGCATAAACTAGACACAGGAAACAACTACGTTTTTAAAGGCAAATTAAGATGCTACTTCTCAGAGACTTAAATGCTCACTTAAATTAAACTTTTTCAGGCTTCCACATACAAAACTAAGTTCCCTTTGAACTGCATACATTTTGCCCCTGACACTGCCTAAATGTGCTGCTGTGTCATTTTAGTTAAGGCAAAAAAAAACCCCAAAAAAACCCTCTCAGTGGAAAAAAAATTTTTGCTTTCAACATTTTTCAGTATGACAAGAATTACTTAAGCTACAATAAGATTCTATTGCAAATTTGTGAACCTAACCAGCAACACAGTCACCTGAGAAATGGAAACAAAGACAAGCACAGAAATCAGCAACAATATAGCTGTATGTTTAACAAGAGATTATATTAATTCAGTGCTAATACCACAAAAAATAAAGGCATTATAAAGCATATTTAGACCATTCTATAAAAACTAAGCTCACCTTTTCTTTGCCAACAGCAAGACCAATTAGACTGATGCATTCAATAGTCTTTCCTCGTAAAAGTCTTAATTCCTTCTGAACAGCATTTTCAACGATGTGTTTTAAGGAGGGCATAAATAAATCATAGTAGGGAACAAACTTCTCCTCCACCGTATCTGCAACTGATGCAATTGAAGTCACAACTTGCTCCAGAACTAGCTTAGTGCCTTTCTGTATCAACTTGGAAAGAAGAAGAATAAAGTGTTATATATTAAAAGCACACATTTTACTTAAAAGCATGCCAAATGTAAAAATCTGCTTTTGCACATATGCTAATTCTCATCAGTTTTAGACCAACACCAGCAGATATGTGTACTGGCTCATTTCTGAGGTCTTAGTTCAGCTATACTTATTCTGCTTATGTGACAAGGTTACCCTCCATCAAACAATTTATTCAGTGCATTATACCTCTTGTAATTTTATCACCATAATGGAATGAAGATGCTTCACTAGATTATCCAAATATGGAATAAGCAGTGACTTGGGACAATCTTCAGTGAAGTTTATGAGTGCTGCAGCTGCATGGGCTTGAACACGCTGGCTGCCTTGATCCTCCATGGTTTGAAGTAGAGCTCCTATCACCTGAAAAAGAAATACTCCTTTTCAGAAAACAAGTTTCTGAAGGGGACGTAATTTTACCACTTGTTTTCCCTACTACTCTACTACTTGCCTTCTCATGAAATTTCTTTTGAAACCCAGGTGCAAAATCAGTTGCCATTTGTCCAACAGCGTTACAAGCAGCGTATCTTACTCTGGGATGCTGAAAAAGTATTCCCGTTGAACAGTTAACAAGCAGTCACAAAAGCAGAAATGAAAACAATTTGAAATAATTACTAGAACAATACTCACAGGATCCTGAAGGAATAGCAAAACAAAATTAACTATTTCATTTAAAATTCCCTCCATCTGTTGGTGGCAACCTTCTCCGATGGCAGAGAGTGCCATCAAGCCAGCATGCCTGTACTTCCAGTCAGCTACAGGAGAGTGAAAATGAAGTGTTACTCATTTTGGAAACTACCAAGGACCACAAAGATTAATCACCTTTTCTTTGCAGAGGCTGAGGGACACAGAAGGAGGCAGAGTGAAGAACAGGAGATGGAAGGAAAGTTAATGCATCTACTTGATTTGTTAAATACATTTCCATTTCCCTCATACATACTTCTAGAGATGCACAAAAAACTGAGTGTCTAATCCAGACCAAATCCAGAACTAGAAAAAAGAATTCTTAACTGCTGGTACAAGTACACATATAGTGCTAATACCTGGAAACCGCATTTAATTAAATGAGCTGACCAGGCAAACATCAAGACAGTATTTTAGTATTTTAGTATTTTTTTTCCCTCTCCCCCATCTTTTTTTCTGTTTTAGTATCATTGAAAGAGCCCATATCTTCCTCAAGAAAAAGGTCTAAGACCCAAACAGTATCTGAATTTAAAACAAACAAATGACTTGTATTAAACTTTCCAGCAGTCCTCGGAACAGCCTAAATTTACACTTACGATGTAAATTTTCCCCACCTCCAAGTCATATTAGGTTATTCTCAGAGTAGTGGGTATTGTTGAAATTAATCTTTCATGCCCCTCTCTCTTTCTTTTGAGCAACATGTGAGAAACTCCAATTTATTTTATTTTTTTTTTTTACAAAAATCTTTCTCTGTGCTAGAAATCATTGGGATTACAGAAGAGAAAGCCAAAGGAACAAAGAGATTTACCAAATGACCTGTAGGAAAGGCATGTTACAGAACTTATCTCCCAAAGTAGCTCAATATTTCATTATTGCTAATAACATATTGCACTCCTGGAATGAAGAACATCACAGTTCAGAGCAGTAGAATCCTCACACTCAAGCTTCTGTCTGACCAGAACGCGATGAAGTATCAGCTTGACAGAGGGTACAACAGAAAGGCAGCAGTTTATTTTGCCCTATTTCAGTTCATTAGATGTTCCTAGTTAAGCCTACACATCGTCACCCTCACTGCATTACTGTTAGCATGTATTCCAAACTTGAAATTAATGAATCTACAAAATGAAACACAATCTTCTTTGGACCATCTGGCCACTCAATCGAAACTCCAAAGCCTTAAATTATTATTTCAATAAATAATTGTAAGAAAGAGGGGATAGGAGAAGAAAAATTTGACTTCTGAGAGTACTGTCACTATGTTTTAATCTAAGTGTCTTCATCTTTCCTCCCAAGTCCCTACCAGGGAGAGCTACAGCAACATCATCTTAATTTCTCTCTTCCAAAGAGTATTAATGGTTATGGACAGCTCTGACCCACAAGAAAACAAGCATCAGGCATGAATTGCATGACCTCCCCTTCACAGGAGTCAGGTCTTTCAGTGATTATTAGACTCTACACTTCTCTGAATGTGCTACAAAATTTGCTAGTTGCTAGTCTAGAAGCTACCAACACTGAGTCAGGTTAGCTCATTTCATTAATAAAACTTTCTTTCAAAAAAAAATATTAAACTTTTAATTCCAAACAGACTTTGTAATTGTTCACACACAGCAGGTGCTACCTTGAGTAGCCCTCTGTTCCATACCCAAAATGCTAACAGCCTTTTCTGGACTGGGTTTTAAACCAAGAAGGCAGAATAGTACCCAGAACTTCTGTGTTATCTTCTACTCCAAAGGCTCAAACCACAGGTCAGGTGAAAGAACTTGAAAGCAATGCACAGTATTTTTTGAATCACTGGCTGAGCAGGCATTACAGGTACTTTAAGAGGAAATGAAGTATACAAAACAACTGAAAAGAATATATAGAAACACCTCATGAAACAAGCATTAAAATCAGCATACCAAATAGACAGACAGCCTACCAATGACCTCAGTCCATAAAATTCCAGGGGAAAAAAATCAAGTTTTCCTCTATGAACTGTAACGTATTAAAATTTCATCTCAATGCAGCACTTCTGAAGAAGCAAAACCACTGAGCTACAGAAAAACAGGTGGCACTTGAGACAAACAAGGTACTGTGAGGGTCTGTTTAGGGATTTAGAATATTCTGAAACAGAAAAGCCCCAAGTCTTCCCTTGTTTTTATGTAATTCCCAGTGTTTAGAAAAAAAATTGTTTTTATGACATCTCTGCTCAGCTGTTCATCTACCAGAAAAGGTGTTGTAATACACTCTATGTAAGTTTAATAAATCAGTCTAAGTATAAAATTTCAAGTTCACAGCATTTACAGTTTTTGCTGCTGACATCAAAAGTGGAAATGTATAATAACACATCAAGTAGCTAAACACAAAGACTTAAGAGGTACTGAAGTTCCTGGAAAGCACAGAATTGTTAAAAAAATAATAAAAGAAAACGCAGCTACTTACGATTCTGAAGCATTTGCATAATATGCTCTTTAATCATAGGCAAAACAAGTTTCCCTCCAAGGCCACATGCCATCCTGTCCAGCGCACTCTCACCAGCCACTGCATTGCTAAATATTGATTACACAAATATCAGTGGTGTGATATCTACAATAAAACAAGCAGTCCAACAGAGAGCTCTTCCCTGCAGTTCTAGTCTTCAAACTTTTGCCATCTGAAAACATGAGCCTCTTTAAGTAAATAAACCATACCCAAATTTAAAAACACACACAACCGGTCACAAAATGGATATTTACTGTTCACTGAGACATGTGTTATCTGCAGGCCACTGATTAAGTCTACTACCAAAGAAACTTGAGTCTTACTAGCACTAGGACCAAAGGTACAGACTGAATTTCACAGCAGTTACATATACCCAGGAAGGTGAAACTAAATTTGCAGTGAATGAAGCAATAATATTGGCCATTCCTTTTTGTCATGAGAACATAAACCAGTTCAGACTTGCTATGATTCAGGTGAACCAGCAGAATTCAAACTTTTGGCACACTAGAGACCTTTCTTGGATGGCTGTACTCAGTAGCATGGTCTCTTGTCAATGACTCGGGCAGAAAACATCCAGTCGAGGTGAGGAATTTGTGGCTCTTGGCCAGTTACAGAAGTTAGAATAGCCCAACATTATCTGTGCAAAGTGATTTGTTCCACCCAATGGAATTATTCCCTACAAAAAAGCAAGAAAGTTTCCAGGACACAGATAACTACTGTTTCAGTCTGGGTATGGCTGGCGGTGTGGCAACTCAAGGTTATTATAGTCCATCCTAGACATCCACAATGATGAAAAAGTTGAGTAATGGTGCACAAAGGGATCAATCTCCCCTTTCTTTCAAGTTTCAGTCAGTTGGGTCAGAAACAGTCTTTGTATTACTATGCTTGCATCCCCAAGTCTCATTACAAACTATAAATAATCAAGAAACTCACAAGCTGTGAACAAAGGTGGTTGTGAAGAGATATTGACAGCATTGTATTTGTTCCTCAGATTGGTCATGCTCAAATAGACAGACACATCACCAGCAGGACAATGGAGCTCAGGCACGCAGGGTTAAACTGGAGCAAACTCATTAAAGTTAACAGCAGCTTGCAGCTGAAATTCCATTCCTCGAGCTTTCTTCCCACCATTAATTCACACATTTGGTTTCAAGAAACAAAGACAGTTTATCTAGAAAAATGACCACACATCTTCCTCTAATGTTCACAAGGCTTTTGCCAAGAAAAAAGGAAGTCGGATTAATCTTTTCCTCATTTAGAATTTCACTCCTTTATAAAGTTGAAGCAATAAAAAACTGGAAATGCTAAAGTATTCCCTGCTGCTTTTGTGTGGGCTGACTCATATCCCCATTCATCAGATCTGAACACACCCTAACTAGGGCGCAGCCCAGTGATCATTAGCCTGTTCCTGGGTCTGCACAAACCTTTCAGTCTTCTTATGCAGCTACAAAACTCGAGCACCAGGAGACGTTAGCATGCACATCAGCCACTGAGCTCTCCACAAAGGTGAGCTTCAGTGGTAGGAAGCACATAGCAGCACCAGGAGTGACCCTGCTAAAAGAGAAACTGCCCTCGCACACACGATCACCAGAGAGCAGCTCATGTGCAGTAGTTTGTGTCTAAGCCTCAAGCTCTCCTATTACTGCGAGGGCCAAAGGAGCTCCTTCAGGCTAAGGCTGTTGAGCATAACTTGTTTTCTGATCTGTGCTCACTCTACTTGTGACTTCTAACAAAGAAAAGGAAAATTTTCATTACGAAATCCATAGGCAGCTAAGCTGTATTTAGAGAACAAAGTTACTCTGCTGACAATAAAGAGAAAATGGCATGCCTCAAGTGCATGATTCAGCATACTTACTAAGCTGCCTAGAGCAAGCCATCTGAATAAATTTCCACACCCTGAAAGGCTTGATAAGGATATGAACTTGAATATTCTATTCCCCCTTGAAATTTTATTGACTGAAAAGATTCAAATACGTAACAAACCTGAATATAGTGGTGGTGTCTGACACCTGTATAGCAAAATTTCAGCACTCAGGAAACAGGTTTAAAGGGTATGGTCTACCATATATGAGGGAGAGAAGAAAGGACAGCTCACTTTCAATTTCATAATCAAAGAGAAGTAAAAAGATTATTTTAAGTAAGGCAAAGATTAAACGGATTATTCCATAAATTCCTATGCATCAGTTCTACAGGTGTCTTTACATGCCTGCTATCCATTAGAAGCTGCTTTACAGCTCAGGGTAAATGAACAAACATCTCTTCTATGGTCTATTTTCCTATGAAGATCTCTAAGTGTTCTGAGATAAATTGTCTCAAAACACTAATTTGTTCTGAGTCTGGATGAGCCAGGTATGTCAAAGAAGTGTCTAGACTGGTAAATTAACATCCATGTCTTCATAGAAGTGTGGAGATAGTTACCTCCTACACCTATTTCTGCTTTCTTCCACTTCACTCTAACAGCAGCTGGACAAGAGTAAATGTAAAAAGTTGGAGCAAGCTACAAAGCATGTAGGAATAAGCAAATCCAAATGACTGGACATATTTAGATCTTTCTTGCCTAACACACAACAAGATAAGCTATTGTTAGCCATACCAAGGGATGTAAAATAATAGCAAAATTGTAGTATTTTTGGACTAGGTGAAATCCAACAAGGAATTCTGCCATCATGATGACATCCTTCCAAAGTCATCTTTTTTTGAAAATAACACATTTTCAAGGGCATAGATACAGAAAAATACAAAGACATTGGTTGTGGATAATTAAACAGGTCAATATGTTTCAACATGGCTTCCAGCTAACTTCAGGATTAGCCTTCAATTTAGAGGATTAGGAGGCACTGACTTCTGAACTGAGTAATATAAATGACAGAAAAAACAAAAGCTAAAGGCTTTGAAAAGCTACAACAGTACAGAACAGCAAACATGGGGACATGCAACTTGTCTAATTATAGCAAATATGAAAGCTGAAATAATTTACTTCCTTGCTGAACACTGCCTAAGTAACCTACATATAAACTGCTCATGACTGAAGGAACAGAATTACAATAGTTATTTGAATAAAGAAAAAGTAATGCACTACAGGCATTTGCATTCTGCACTTTAAATGTGCCTTTAGTCACAGCCTTGATAAAACATTGAAACAACTGGTTTCATAATTACCTGTCAAAATCATCATCTGCAAGCTCATCTGCATTTGCCCAATCTTCATCTTCTTCCAAGTCAACCATCATTGCTAACATCTGAGGAACTGAAAAAAAACAGCTTTAAACTCAGTCTGATCTCTTAAAATAGATTCTCAAATAAAAAGTATGAATTTCAAGTTTTCTCATTTCAAAAATTTTTGAAGAAAACCAGCTTTTCTTCCAGTAGCAGATGGTCAGGTCTGTCAAACTGCATTAGCCAATAATCCAGAACTGACTGCCACAGAAGTATTTCCAGAACATTCAAACTGAGAGTAAAAATCTTGTGTATAACTTACCAAAACTCAAAAATTTTTCGTAGATCATGACAATTATAAAAAGCAAATTCCTTAATAAAGTCTATATTCATGAAAGAGTTAAAAACAGTATTAAATACCTTGAGAACTCTGATATACTTCCTTAATTTTTCTGAAACTCTGACATCATCTTTCGAACATTTACTAATGAAAGAGACTATTAATTAAGAAAGAATACTACTGAACCCTTAGTTTTATTAGCAAAATAAATTTTGTTATCTATTTATACAGTGGTCGCTTAGCATAAAGCTTTTCTCTTACAATGAGGCCATGGTTTAGAACTTGAGATTTCCTTTTTCCCACCTAATGCAAATTTTTCTTTTGTATAATGAACATATCTTGCACATTACAATCCACCAGTTTTCTTCTTCTACCTCTGCAGACTGTCCATTCTTCTCATTCTAAGACTTTATAGAGAATATTACGCATTCTCTATCACAGCATTAAACTACTATGCAATAAGCATCAGCTACTCTTACCAGCTCTCACAGGAGGAAGGAGCACAATAGTTTGTCTGCTCTAAGTCTACCAGTTGCTGTGCCCTTCAGAAGCAGGAGGGGTGAAAAGTCTACCTTGCACTTCCAGAGCAAAGTAAGGGTCTCTTAAGCACTTCTTTAGTCTGTACTACATACCAATCACTTAGAGCAGTTTGAATTTAGTATCATTTATGCAACAAAGTTTCACTTTGACCTGGAGACAAAACGTTTCAGCCAAACACTCAACGTTTGACCTTCAACCATCTTTTTAGCACAGCCTACCACACATCTTGAAGACAGCTACCACAGGTAACTGCCCTTTTCAGCAACCTACGTGAAAGACTAGCAGGCATCTAGTAACTGTTCATGCTGCTAGTGAGATTTGCTGGAACTGATCAAGTATACTGCAACTGCTGAATTTCATAATACACCCACACTACTGTGATCTACCACAGAGACAACACCCTAAGCAAACTCACCACCACATATCTGGACAAAGGAGAAACTTCTAGTCAACTGATGACAGAAAAAAATATTGCTTACTGATAGCACTGTAGATCACGTATCAAAAAAATATCAAATTATGGATTTATTTGCTTGATGTATGTATTTTGAGATAGAAAATACTCTATGGCTACAAAAACCTCCAGAGGGCTCTTATGTACTATCAACACACACTATGGTCTCTCTAGCATGATGCCGACATGTCAGATTTCTAAACACTGATTAGACCTCAAAAACAGCCAGAGTATTACAGTCCAGAAGATTATCAGACACAGACACACAGAAGTACACACAGCAGAACCATGGATTGTCACAAAATATAAGGAATACAGAAGACAAACATCATCTAGCACAAATGCTCTGTGGCTCCAAAAAGTCATGTCAGTGTTTGTTGCTACTAACAAAAAAGGCTGAGAACACACTCATCCAACACGCTCCGGCCATCATTTTATCTAGAACCTACAATTTCTTGCTTCTTCTTAATGTTTTGCATGAATGTGGCTGCCAGTAAATGTAATTTCACAGAGTTTTTAAAAAAATGTAGAGTGTGCATAGAAATTTCAACATTGTCCCAACAAGCCCTCAAAATTTAATTACTGCTAATATGTAGACTCTTACAAACAAGTTAAGCATGAGCCCACTAAGCCTGCTTCTTATCAGAGCAATAAAACTCTCTGCAATCCTGTGAGCTCAAGAAGGGAAGTCTTAATCTAAGTGGACTCCAGAGCAGCTAACTGGCACAGAGGACACACACTCCTAAACCAGCACTGTGCTCAGTAAAACCAGCACAAGATGACAATTTTGCCCAAGTCCCAGTTCTAGTTGTATCAGGTAATCGAGCAACTTCTCAGTTGAATGAAAACAGAAAGCCTTTTAAACTAAGATACAAAGCCAAGACAAAAGCAGTCCTTTTTTGCTACCTTTTTATCATTCCCTGAACACAACTCCTTTACCAGTTCTGCAAAATAAATGTCTTTTCCTTAATGATACATTAATAATAAGACTAATTTTACAATGAATTGCAAATGAAAGGCATTTCTTTCCCATATGGTGCTTCATCTTAATAGAAGCATTTCATTCCTAAACAGCAACTAGCAACTCAAAATAATAGGAGTACATTCTAAAGTGGTAAGAGGTACTTCTCTCCTGAACAAGTATGAAGCTTGTAATAATGATGTGGGGTCAGCAAGTGTCAAGCATTAATAATTCCAACAAGCTACAGGAGTGAAAATAGAGTGTTCTGAAAATTTACAGACGCCAAAATATGTTCTAAAGAACCTCTTTAAAAATCTATTCTACTAGCAAACAAGACTTCTCATCAATATTTTTAACACTTTAAGCCAAGCAGATCCAGTTTGCAACATTTTCCAACAGAAGTTTTATAATTTTAGAGACGTCTATACAGCTTTCCTCATGCTGAGCACAGAAAAATTGTAGCATTTTTGAGCTGAGCACACAGCAAAAGTTACCTTTTATGCAAGTTTCAGAAAACAAGCAAGAATTTGGACAAACACAAGTGTGACAGGGAGGGAAAAGCAGGCTACACTGCTGTGCCAGGGCCCTGATCTAGTCAAGGAAAAGGTTTAAAAGGCAAAGAAACACCAGTGCAAACAGCACTGATGCTGGAGCTGCCCAGAAGACATTTATTTTTAGCATTTCAAATAATAATGCATGATTTTAAAAGTGCCTCTTTAAAGACTTTACCACCTGTATGTTAAATAGACTAATTAGATTATTTCTATGTATTTATCCCAGCATCTGATTTTTTTAATTCACAGCTTTAACTCGCCACTGCTGCTCAACATGCATGCTGAATTCCTTCAGTCTTGACCTGCCAGCACCACAGAGTATCTGGCCTACATACCAAACTCCAAACGTAGAACTTCAGAACTAAATACTGGTTTTTTGTTACAGTAAAATTTTCCAAAGCCAGCTGAAAAGCATGCAAGTAGTTTTCCTTGGAAACATCTAATAAGAGTCCACTGTACGGATTAATTTATGAAGAGTTATAATAGGAAGAGGATTACTCCACTAGGTGACACTGAACTGAATTTTCTTAAGCTATGCACACCAGCAAACTCAGTTAGATGTGGTTTTGCCATTGACCAACAGCAAACTCAATTTAATACTGTAAAAGAAGACTGTTTCAACAAAGAAAATGAGGAAAATACTTACTGGCTTGTGCAATAATATTTGTATGCCTCCTCAGCATAGCAGCAGCAGTTTCTGACAAGGCCACAATTACTTCAAGTGCCAACTGACGCTGCATGTTACTGAGACTGGCATCTGCACACAACTACAACCCAAAAGATTAGAGGAAATGGTTAGAACAGAGATTTTGGGGTGGAAAAAGTGATTCTTAAAAAAACATTCCTAGCTTTACCTTCAGGGTTAGCTGCAAAGTAGCTTCTAAATGTGGTCGTAAATACTTAGGAACAGAATCTGCAATTTCTACAAGGGATTTCAGAACAGAATCATCATTTTGGTAGCAGGAATCATTTAGAGCCTATAAAAAGATAAGATGGAGATAAGATTAAATAAAAACAAACAACATCATGAATAGGACCAGTGTTACAGAAGGAATTTCATTAATTATATTCTTGTTTCTCTGAACGGTCTCATTTAGTATTAGTAGCTAAGCAGCCAAAGCCTGAGGCCACAAGAACTGACCAGAGTAAACTTTTTGTTAAAGCTAATGCTTCTAACAATGAACTAGCTGATTCCAGCAGATACAAGCAGATACAAGAAGATAAGAATCAAGCAGACAATTCCAAGAGAATGAAGTAACTTCACCAGGTCGGTTCTGCAACAGTGAAAACCAGTGAGAAATCAAGAGACCACCAACCAGAAGTGGCTGGGGACTGGGCCATCAGTGGCACACGTACAAATGAGAGACATGAATTGGGGTAGGGGTCCCTCTCTGGAGGTACCAGCTCAAGCTCTAACCTGAGAACTAATAGAACACAATTAATCAGAAGCCTTCACTCCAACTTTCAGCAGGATCCCAGAGCCAGACCCTACTATGGTGACCTGTGTGCCTAAGTCCATAACAGGATACTATGCAGCATCCAAAACTACAAGTTTTCTGCAACTAAGTTATGGCTCACAATATGTTCAAATCTAACACTGCAGACAATCAGAAAGAATTAAGGTCACGCATCAGAGGCTCCAACATGCAAAACCACTGGGTTATGACAACTTCAAAATCCATTTAAAAGGAAGCAACTCTGCCTGAAAGAAGGAAAATGAGCCTAACTTCCTTTTTGCCTGTTATGTGAGAAAAGTTTTGAATAAGTTATGCTTATAAACACCAAGAACCACAAGATTAAAGAGGTTTTTTCCAGACATCCCTCCAGAGCCACCAAATTAAAGCAGACCTTTCAGCCTTCAGTCACAGACATGGAAAAGAGAAAAAGAAATCAAGCTTTTTGCAATTATCTTTCTTAACCCATATCCACATTCTGAAAAGTAATTTAAAACTTACTTTTAACTGATCAGGATGATATTTTACTGCCAAACCAGAACACTGTTACTCAATGGTATTAGAATCCAGAAGGAAACAAAGCTCCAAAGAAAAAGTCTTTACACTAACTTCTGAGATTTTGAAAGGAATTTTCATTAGCAAAGAATTTAATGTCTTCCTAATGTTGAAACATTTTTTGAAGTAACTAAATAATTTGTAATATTTAATTCTATAATGCAATATTTTTGATAATGGCACTTATATAACCCACACTTTCAAAACAGAAGCAGCATCTTCTAGTACCAGAAATGTTCTGGGAAAAAAAAAATCTGTCACAGTTAAGGCCTTTTGGTCTAATAGCTATAACACTCTGATTCTCTCAAAGGACAATAATATGTACTGGAATTTTCTGCAAAACTGTATTTTATATCAATTGCAACTCTGACAGTTGCACTCTTGCTTTTAAAGCAAGAGTGGTTTTCTGAAAAAAGCAGGTCAAAGTGAAAAGTGGGCCCTAAAAGGCAAAAGGACTTTTCTGTAGTATCAAACAACATTCAAGGAAGTCAATGAAGTTCTGTTTGCTTTTGCCTTCCTTTGCAACAGAAATCTTTGGGTAAAAGTTTCAACTGTCAGTTTTGAAAGTTCACCTTCTCAAAGTAAAAAGTGGGTCCTAAAAGGCAAAAGCACTTTTCTGTAGTATGAAACAACGTTCAAAGAACTTCAATGAAGTTCTATTTGCTTTTGCCTGACTTTGCAACAGAAATCTTTGGGTAAAAGTTTCAACTGTCAGTTTTGAAAGTTCACCTTCCAGCGTTACCATTATAGATCTTGTACCGAAAGGACTGACATGCCAAGTCAGAATTTTATTTTTAGTTTTTCTACCATGTCAGTGTTTCAACAAAATTAATTTCAACAGCAACAAAAAAGCATCCAACTGTCTCCAAAGGTCACTCACCACTATTCTAACACATTCCTATTTATAAACTCGGATATTCATATCCATCTTGTGTTACCACAGCCAGAAAATCTAGTTCTTCTTGCAGTAACTATGTTAAAAAGACAGATTTCATAGCACAGCTCTGTGCTCTATATTAGCAAAAGAAAGCTTGAAAATGTGAGCCAAGTGCATGTGTTGCTACAGTGTCTAAGTAGTGTAAGAGTAGCATTGAAAGTTATAGCACACAGAGTGGGCTATTAGCCCAAAATCTAAAACCCACACACTATTTAAGTGCCACACATCAAGACAAATGGTATGACCACCCTAAACCCTGCCTTGCCCCCACGTACACAGTACTGTAAGTAGCCAAGGTCCTCTCAGGCAGCTACAACTTCTAAACAACAAAATTGTTATTGACAAAGGCATGGACAGGGACTAACCACCAAATAGAGACCTCAATACCAAAAAACTTATACACACTAGAGCCCATTTTCAAGTTCAGATGATTTGGATAAATTCCTCTCAGTTTGCATTTAAGATCAAGCAGAATTCCATCAGTTGCAGATGCCAGTAGATTTGGCAAAATTTTTCTTCAGCTTGCCACAAAGCACAGGCAGTTTACAGCTCACACTGTCAACAAGAACCCGCTGTTCTGAGTGCAGTGACAAGTCTGTCTTTAATGTAAATTTAGCCTAATTTAAAATCACCAGAAGTTCACTTCCTGTGTTATCATAGGTACTAAGTTGCTTCCACTGTTTCTTGATATAGAAAGGGAAGTGTACTGTGAATTTTTCATCCTTCAGAGCTGAAACCATTTCTGTCTCTGGTTTGGTTTACAATAGGCTTCTCTGCAAACATAGATAACCTTACACTAGAATTTCAACTTTTGCTCAAACTCATCCATCCAAGAGATCTAATCCAGCCTCAGAAACTACATGAAGCTTAAAATAGCATTTTTTTGCAATTTCCTAATTTATCAAACAATAAAGATAATTTCTACAGACTTTTGTTCTCAGTCTGAGAATCTATGTTCAGAATAATTCTCTGCTTTCCTCTAAAGTGAAGAGGTACAGGATATCACAAGTCCATGAAATCCCCAATCACAGATTACTTCAAATCTCAGGGTAGCCCATATTTGTATTTCAATATCATGGTTAATTTAAAAGCTGTATGATTTTGACCTATATACCTTACAAAGAATTTTAACGCATTTATCTCTGTAACACTGCTTAAGATGATCAGCACTGAGCTACTTTCCTTGAAACCCTATCAATTACCCTCTATTTGCAAAATTCCTTATTAGTCTCCACTTCATCTTGCTGGCAACTGCTGTCTGGCTAAAAGGGTCAGTTAATTCAGGTCTCAGCAAAAATTCACCAATTCACAGACCAATAACTTACATTTGTATATAGTCAATAGAGACAGTAATGGCACACTAAGTGTAACTTGTTTGGTTTCTTACCTGCAAGATTCCAGGTAGCAAGTCTGCAAAATGTTTAAGAAGGGGAGCATTGAGCTCATTAGCAAGCACAAATGCAGCTGCAGCTCTAGCAGACAAAGTCTTGATCTAAAAGACATGATTGAAGAAATAAATGTGGGAAACTAGTACTGAAACATGCTACTGTTAGTTTCCAACATGGGATTTTAAATTTTACTTCAAATTAAGGTAAAGTGTACAGCATCTACATTGTCTACCATACAAAAAGTTTATCTTAAGAGATGGCAAGTAGTCCCTAGTTTTGCTTTTTCTTTTAGTAGTTTTCATTTAATGAAAGAAAAGAGGAAAAAACCCTATTGTTTTCAACTTCTATCAAAACTTCAAATGTGCATGCAAGTGTCAGTCTCATTTTTCAAGAAGTGTGATCTAAGTGTTTAAGACATTCCTCTTTAAAGGCATGACTTGTGGTACTTTAGAAAATGTTATTCAGTCTACTTTCAAAGGTCAGAAAAAGTAATCCTTGGGGGAGCAGCAAACTGAACCCATATATCACAGCAGGGTTTTCTATCCTTGCCCAGCATTTTCCATAACAAGAGAAACATTTTCAAAGTACAATTCTCTGCACAAATCAATTAATCTGAAGCCTTCCAGAAAAGCAAGGCTTGCTTACACACCCTTAGAGCAAAACATGCACAAACAGTTCAAGGAGCTGTTATATATTCAGAATTTTGAGACATACCATGCACCATATACATACAGATACTGTATGTAGAGACACGACAGACTTACACTGTTTGACACAAAGGCCAGAAAGAGACTTTAACATGGAGTTTCTGACCCCTCAGTGCTGCTAGCTAAAACCCCATCTGCCTGGGGCCACTGCAACTGGTTTTCTCCAAGCATAACTAGGGAAGAATCTGGGCCTAAACAATGCAGATATGAGCAGTCAGTCAGCTTTAGGACCACAAAGGGGTCTGAGCCTTTGTTTTGCAGCAGGCATAGTCAAAACTCTGTGTGTACATCATTTTCAGGTAATGCAATTCTCTGGTTGAAATCTATGGTTTAACATTTATGTTTGAGACCACTGCACTGAGTTTCTATGCTCAGAACATACTAAAGTCCCAAAAGATCATAAAGGTCTTACTGAGGGATGCTCCTGATCTTGCATACACTGAACCAGCATTCTCTTAATGACATCCAAATAGTGTTGCTGTTGATTCCCAAAAATCCCAGGAAAATTCCTAAGGATAAGACCAAAACATTAATAAAAATTCATACAAGTTACGGTTAAACTACTAATTCAAACTTATCCACTGTTTAAGATACAGACTGTAACTGTACATGTTTCAGTTAAGTAAGCCACAATACAAGAAAATAAATGAAATAAATATGATTGCTAGTTAATTACATTGTGACAGTTTTTCTTTCATTTTCAGACATGATTAGGCTATCCTACAAAAATGCAGCTTACCAGAAAATATGCAGAGCAGCCTCACGCAGTCCCACATTCTGAGAGCTGACAGAGTCAAATAAGAATTTCAGAACTTCTGGCCACTGGTTGTTACCATCTTCATCTACATTTAACACAACAAAGTTTTAGGATATGCAAACTTCAGAATGGTGAGATATCAGTGGTGCAGGAAAACCAGTCATCACTGACTCCCTGATGTGAAGATGCGCCTAAGTCACAATGTAAAATATTGCAAAATGTTTAATCTACAAACACTCCATAACAGAAGATGATCTCGGTTTACTGCTATATAGCAGCACTCAGAAAAGAAACTGATGCATTGTTCAGCACAATTAATGACAATTTACACAAAACTGGATTTATAAACCTTAATACAATCTCACCTAAACTTGAGCAATTTAAAAAGCAGCGTTTAAGAATCTTATTTTCATCTGGTCAAGGATAGTGTAAACAAATATTAGGTTCTATTATAAGCCATGGAATCAGTTAGCACATCATGTGCCAACGCCTGAGTAGGACTAGAGAACAAGAGATACAAATACAACCACAATCAATACATAAACATTTTACTGCAGTATCAACCTCTACAAATAAAGTACCTATTAAATTCCTGGCCAATTCAGCGACTATGTCACATATTTTCTTTCTCATAGTGGACTGCACTTCTAACTGGATGAAGAGCAGCAATTCACTCTTGACTGACGTCTGATCCTCAGGTGACAGAGCTGGATAAACTTCTTCAAACGCAGATGACAACAGGCGGCGCAGAAGGACAGCTGCCATCTGCCGAGCCTGTGAAGGAGAAGTGTGTGTGTGTTAAAGTGTTTGACATGGTAATCATGCTCCTACAAGGGAACATGGACATCATGCTTCCAAATGATACTTCCAGTGTGGAGACTTCTTTGGTGAATGGAATACCTCTCAAGCAACAGATGACAATTATGATACTGAAAAAAATTCATAGTAAAGAAACATCAGCTGACAATCACGTTTCTGACAATTACAGCCCTTCAAAGAAATAATGACAGTACTCAGGTATTCAGGTTTTTTCTATAGCTGAACTTCAGAAATATTTTGTGGCAACTTAGCTGCGCTATTGAAAAATCTTTCTATTTTAAATGACCTAATGAAGTCAATATAATCCAGACAGGTTTTTCTGGATTAAAAAGTGACTTATTGGGGCAGTTTTGTCAGATAATTAACCTGTTAACCCTCCTTCACATTCTCAAACAACTAACCCAAAGCCAAATCAAAACAAAGCTTTCAGTGTTTTGCAGGCCTGTGATGAAACTTTTTCCTTTAAACTTGAACTTAAGCATAGGAACCTAAAACTCACATATCACAGTCTTGTATCCTGTATGCGTACACCTATTTTACAACAGTAACATTTACATATCCATATGCATTACAATTGTACAAGAACCAGAAGCAAAAAAAAATACAGGAATTCAAAATTAACAGAGCAACACATGCAGTAAAGGCAAAAAGACAAATGAAACTGGATAACTTAATAGAATGTTCACCAACTGGTGTTTAAGGACACACAGAAATTAAAGGACACACCCAAACTTTTACATGAAACTGTCTGAATAACTTAATAGAATATTCACCAACTGGTGTTTAAGGACACACAGAAATTAAAGGACACACCCAAACTTTTAAAGTTTAACACATGTAACAAAACCTTATCTGTGTTAAATTCTCATAAAAAATAATCCAAACTCAATTTTTCCTGATATTCTTATTTAATGTGCACATGAATGACAGTTTCATTTATAAGCCTTTGAAATTCAAAACTGTTCAATGAGCAGCAAAAGTAATCAATTCCAATTTCTCAATAATGTTACTATGGCATAACCTGTAGATGTGAAACATAAACTGCTGCAAAGTGTCAACTTCTAACATACCCTGTAAATACCAGGTATTGCTAAAACATCACCCAAGATGCTATTCTTGTGTTCTGCAGTCTCCAAACTCACTGTATTTTTCTAAAGTACCCATCTCTCTTCTGTACAGCTAAAGGTAGGGCACACAAAGTGTCTCTGTACCAGGAGAAGGAAAGGAGTAGAACTGGACCCAACTCTTTATCATTCCTTATCTCCTCCTCACCATCTCCAGCGGGGACTAAGGCCACTACTATGTAGGATTAGCTCTTCCCTAGCAGATGTAAGGAAGGCAGCAGGTGAACAGTCCCAGTGCCCACCTGTGCTGTAGTTCCCATTAGAAGCCAAGATTCTCTAGCAATAGGCTGCAATATGGGGAATGTGAGTTCAGAAGGATGTTCTTCCCCCACTGCCTGTGGGAGTCTCACTAACAACGTGTCCAAAAACTTTCATGGTACTGCAATATAATGGTATATTTCCTTCTCCCATCCTTTGGAGCACCAATATTGAGAAAGATTAAATTTTTCCTTGTTAGTACGGTAAACTTACATAGAAATGCCTTGAGTGAGGAGCAAGTTCACTGGAACTAAACAGGGCACAAACTCTGGTGTTGTTTTCCCTTACTCAAGGCATTGTGTTTCAGTGAGGATTTCCTGACACCTGATAATGACTGAACTCGTATTATATGATATTCTTTCATGAAGTACTAACAGGTGGATGGACAGGCAACAGAGGTGAAGACTACATGCTTTATGAAAACAAGGATAAGAATTTCCAACTCTGAAGAATTTAAAATATTAGAATACTGATAAACAGTATTCTAATACTGATTGCAAAGTAAAAACGCCAGTAGTAAGGCATACAGAAAGACACAAGACCAGCACTACACGAATTATCTCCTGGTTACAGTTACTAGCTTAGGAAAAAAACAATCCCCAAAATCTCTAAAGTAAATTGAAGTGTTTTAAGGACTGACAAATGAGCTACTGACTTCTAATAATAAAAATGGCATATTTTCCTCGGCAGATACTCACTTACATAGGAAAACTATCATTGTCAATTTAATTATGACAAACATGGCTGAATTAATGGCACCTCCAGCCCTATTTCTTCTAGTCTAAGAAAGAATATATGTATTTTTCACACACACCCCAAAGGTTCTTTTAAGTATTTCAAAATATGTACTTAAATAAGCATTTTAAAATTCTGCAATTTAGTAGCAATAGCTTTTAATGAGGAGAGGAACAATATAAAATGTACATCCCCAAAGAAGAAATTCCAGCTGCCAATGAAGCACAAAGAGAGCACATTTTTCCCAGCATTGGGTCTTCTGCATGTCTAAATTACTGAGATGCTCACATACAACTAAAGTGCTACAGTTATTAATATAAAAAGCAGTCATAATACTCAAATTTCAACATACTGCTTCTGATTAGTAGAATTTATAGTGTGTTGAAAATGTTTTAGTATTTTAGGGATGATGGAAATAAAGCACAAGAAGAAAATCAGTTTGCTGAGCAGGGCAGCAGCAGAATTATGAACAGCAATCAGGGATGCCATGCTCTCCACTGATATTCAAAGCATCCACATAACTCTTAATATTTAATAAGAAAAAGATTGACTATCTTGTGTAGCACTGTCACACTGAATTTTACTTTTGTTTTATTGTTCAAGTCCTCAAGGAGGAAAACATGCAGGGATGGAAGTAAAGAACATTCAGCACATGGTTCAAAGATGGACTTCCACATTGTCATTCAGAGATCTAGTCCTGTGTGGAATTCAAAGCACAGAGTGCCCAAGATCCAAAGACAACTCAAAAGCAGATCTGTGGTGCATCCTTGGGCTGCCTTTCTTCCAAAAGGCTAAACAGGAAGCTGTCCACAACAGTCTTCAACTGTCCAAAGCAGTCTTCAACTAAGAAATGCATCCCTTCATGTGACAATATGGACAGAGGTCTGGGAGAGGTCAGGGCCCTCCAGAAGGCTGTGAGTACAGCAGAAACAGTTTTACAGAGCATTTGTTATTTTACTAGTCATCTGTAAATTAGGACACAATCAAAACCTGCCAATCCAGAGTTAACCAAGAAAAAACAAATGCAGGGGAAAATGCAGAACTTCTGCTCCTCTCAAAGACTTAGGTGGAAAATCAAAACTGCAAAGTAACAGCCTAAAATATTTAAGTCCTATAAATAAAATCAATCTATTCAACTGTGAATATATATCACCTTTCTGCACATCTCTTTAAAATGCAGTTGCATAGAAAGTAGTCTTAATTTCCTAACAGTGAGACTACAAGAGCAGGAAGTAAGGACAAGCCCCTCCTCAGACTGAGGTGTACAAACATGCACATCACCTGGCACAGAAGTGTTCTAACTGCTAAGTCAGATGCTTCCCTCCACTTCTGTGACAGTGTCACTTTGCTATTAGGAAAGTATGAAATAAGAACAGAGGAAAGAAGTGAATATTTCCAGAGTTTAAGCATCTGGTTAGGAGAAAACCTGTTACACAGTTAGTCAAAAGAGTTATTCCAAACCCAGCTTAACAGCATTTTCTATGTCAAATACAAGGGGTACTCAGGAGCACAATCTGCATCCCTGTTTCTCCATTTAAATGCCAAAACTACTGGGCTGCAGAGACAGGACTTCCACAATTGCTGTCTGAATAGTCCTACAAACCTTGTACTGTCTACAACACAGATACCCAACTCATGCAAACAGGATGGGGTACTTTCTTCAGCCTAGTTTTCCTGCAAGGAGGTAAAGCAATACAAAGGCTTCAAGATGAAGAGGGATCTGAACCCAGCTTTCACACAGCCTGGACAAGGCATGTTCAAAGTTCTGAAGCTCCTTCCAGCATCCTGTGTTTGGTGGCACTGGTACATTCAATGTGCTCAGAGGACACATACCAGGCCCAAAGCTCTATCCACTGGTGACATGCAATATTCTGCTCAGCATTTGGATTTCTATAAAACTATGCAGAAACTACCTGTTGATACCAGCACCCTATTAAACATGCACAGAATGCTTCCCAGCATGTGCAGTGTTTATATGCAGCGTTTAGGTTGAGCATGGGGATTACTTCACTTAGGCTCTAATTAGTCTACTAAGCAGCTGGATTTACAGGGAAGAGGTTGTAGGTTTTATTAATCAGGATTTTTTGAGTCCAGCACCTAATGCTTACTTATGGTAAGAGCTAACATTTAAACCTTTCTTTGATTAATCCATTGGTAAAGTTAAACGTCAAGATATTCAACAAATGTCAGCCTTTGATGTCTTTGGCAAGAGTAACTTCTATAGGTGAAAAGTTTTTTTTGTACTTTGCAAGTCAGAATCCAAGTCATTGGCAAGATTCCTAAGATTTACACTGGGCGATTTCCTTAGCTGATGTGAAGGGAATAAAATCAGCAAACACATGAAACAAGTATTTATTTATACTTTGTAGTAGCACTGCTCTACAGTTTTCTATCATTTAAATCTCAGAGGAGCAAAAAGAAAAACTAGACACCTCATGCAACCAGTTGCTAGTATAATATTGAAGGAATTTGCCAGAAGAACACAATATTGTAGATTGATAAGCATCAGTACGAGTAAACTGATACTTTCTTAGCATTAAAAAGCACAAATGGCAGCTAACTCTAAATTGAATAGTCTGCCAGAAGAGACTGTTATCCATAGAGAAAAAGCACACTTGTGCTCTTCTAACATTCTTCAGAAATAGTTTAAGTGACTCTAGAATTTGTAATATCTTGACAGTTTAGTAATTCCTTGCTCTGCATATCCAAGTGAATAGTTTTACTAGTAAGTACTTAAACTGATTGCTAAAATTGTGAGCCTTACAAAACTAAGGAGTAACTAAAAGGCACCCTTACTTTATGCCCAGATTAAAAAAAATGTATAATTCTTAGGACTACTCTCCACTCATTCCATAATATTGCCAGATGACTTAAGAAGGACTCTAAGTTTTGGACAACACACAAGATTAATATGTTTAGGCACAGGACTCCAAGTAGAAATCACTTCTCAACTGTAACTTGAAGAAACATGACAGTAAGTCACATATCAATTATACATTTAATGGAAAATAACTCTCATTAATCAAAGCACACAACAGAAAACAATGGAAACTCAAGCAGTCACTTATGAAAAAACTATTCCTGAAACTAAATATCTTGCACCACAAAGTGTCAGCTAGTGAATTGGGCATGCAGCAATCAAGAGGAAGAGTGATCCCTCTACAAATGTGCAGTAAATGAAGATGCTTCAGTTAACACCAAACTTGCTTATTTATCCCAAAATGATCAGCACTGATTTCTTCCCCTCTTCTCCAAGTCCCCCTGAAAATGTGCACAAATCCAAGGTTACAGAGCCATACCTCCTCGGGAGTAGCATTGTTCCTGATTGCCTGCAGCAGGTAAGTGATCTTTGATGGGCCTGGAATAGTCTCATAGGTCTCCTGCAGAAAAAGAGATGCAGCTTATTGTAAACATTTATTAGAAAGCATGTGTTAAGCATCAATATGAACTCACTCACCTTTTAAAACAACATCAGTATCCATCCAATTAAAAAAAAAATAACACAACAGAAAAAAGAAATTAAACTTATCAGAATAAAAATGTATGACCTATTTTAAAATTAAGAGTAAAATCTTAGTGATCTGGTAAGCTCTGCCATATTGGAATGATCTACATATGCACGACTGGCCACTTAGGAGATTAGTTACAAAATACAAATAGAACAAAAACTCACAAAAATACAACATACACCAAACATGTCCTACTGGGAATTCATCATAGCTTTTATCATATCAAAGAATTAAGAACTTTGGAAGCCTGAGACCAAGCACAGAAAAATGTATAGTCCAAAAATTGGATCAGTTCTGGTTTTGAACCTTTTTAAAACTTCTACAATGTTATGTGGCAGCCACAAGTCCAAATCACACGTTCTGAATAAGAATGTCATATTTCTAAACTCCTGCCTAAATTTCAGAAAGAGAAGCTAGTTAGTCTCCTCCTTAGGAAAACCCTCTTAACAAAATGAGATTTAGTAAGTTCAATCACATTCTTTTACATGCTTCCAGCATGCATTTTATACATGTCTCCTTTTTAAATTATATTGTTACTTAGAAACTAAAGTGAAAACACAGCAAAACAACTTTTGCTATCCAAAACATGGTATATGGGTGCATTTTGAAACCATTAAAAAAAAATTAAACCTATGTAGGTAGGAGCAGCAGAATCACAAGCTAAATAGCAACCCCTCAAAACATCCAGAAATAGTTCTATACTTAGTAACTCTGAGTTACTTTTTGTTGACAATCTTGAAGATTAATTACTTCACCCTTTCCAAATATTCATTATCCCATCCTGAACTCAAGGAATGAGCCTATTCTGCAAAGCTCAGGTTCATTTCTATCAGTTCTCTGTCTCGCTACTTCCTATTTCCAACTCTGCAGTAGCTCCTTCCAGTACTGTAACAAACTCTTACACACCTTGACAGGATACCTGCTGTTGTCAACTAAGCAGTTTTGATATTAGACATAATCTTCCTTCCTTTCTGTACCTCCTTCCTAGTAGGCCTTCTTCAAAAAGTGAATCTGCATTTCATATTCTCTCTAGTTGCCAACATACACTCACAGTCAATGAGACTGAATCCCCAATGAATCCCTGCATTTAATCTAATCATTTCATGAAGGCTGCAAAATTAAATGAGGTTTAGGGTCAGAATAGAAAGTCTTTGTCAGGTTAACCTCTTCCATGAATGCATATATTTATACTGCACTATTATCTACAAATCCAAAAACTAATACAGAAACACAGTGGTTCCCTAAAGCCAGGCCCAGCACGGACTTGTTACACTTTCACAGACAGCTGAAGCACAGTAAAGGCTGGCTTCCCTCATGTCAATTCTGATAATCATAAAATTCTATTTTGAGTTGTTTGTTTAACTCACTAAAAATGGCAGCAACCTAAGCAGTTGTTCAATGGTATAACTCTGTCAATTCTTAAACTGGATTCAAAGGATGCTAAAGCCAAGGGGCACAGGGAATACATGGCCAAACACAGAACCTTCCCTCTGGGCTGGTGGGAGACTTCTTTGCTGGCCTTATCCATCTTACTACCAGTCTTGCCTAAACTCTAACTATGTAGCTGGATCCTGCTACATCTTACTGTATTCCTTACCTTTACAATTAGTTCCCCAGTTATCTTATGCAGAAGTACAAATTTCTCACACACCATGACCAACTTTCCTAACATGTGCAAGAAAGTATCTATCATCTACACTTGCTACTCATGTTTTCCCAAACCTGAGAAATGCATTTTTAAAAAGAGCATAAAATCACTAAAACAAAGTAAATATAAGTTTTTCTATTAGAAGACAGACAAACAAGTAAGAAGGCAGGTTTTTATACTCAACAGACAACATTCCATGATGGATGGTAAAATAAACCAACCAGATTCCAGCCAAGTAGTCAGGTTAAGTCAGGAGCATGCTACCTCATACACATAATCACAGAATGTTTTGGGCTGGAAGGGACATTAAGGACCATCCAGTTCCAAACCCTCTGCCATGGGCAGGGATACCTTCCACTAGACTAGGTTACTCAAAGCCCCATCCACCCTAGACTTAAATACTTCCAAGAATGGGGCATTATAGCTTTCCTGGACAGCCTGTTCCAGTGCCTCAACACCCCCACAACAAAGAATTTACTCCATGTATCTAATCTAAACCTGCCCTCCTCAAGTTTAAAGACATTGCCCCTTGTCCTCTCACTGCATGCCTTTGTAAAAGCCCCTCTCCACCTTTCCTGCAGGTCCCCTTTAGGTACTTGAAGGCTGCTCTGAGGTGCCTCCAGTCTTCTCCAGGCTGAACAACCCCACCTGTCTCAGCCTGCCTTTCACAGGAGAGCTGTTCAGACCCTCTGACCATCTCTGTGAGCCTCCCCTGGACCCACTTCAACAGGCCCATGTCCTTCTTGTGTAAGGGCCCACAGGTAGACACAGTACTCCAGTGGAGTCTCACAAGAGCAGACTGTACACATCTACTCAGTTTGGAGTCATCAGGCTTTCTTCCTCACCCTTTTTTTTAAAACGTCTTTTACTACAATCCTCCCAAACAGGATATGACTCTACATCTCTATTATGTCCAGTCTGGATCTGAACACCCCTCATTCTCATTTCAATATCCAGACCTATTTGGAATAACCTGCTTAGTTCCCTGCTTATCCATTTCTCATTCTGACTGGTTTTCACTAGACAAAAATGAAAACCTGCTATTCAATTTATCTGCACTTATTTGAATCCTTTATGTATTCAATAATACCTTCCAACAGTAAGTACACTTAAAAAAACTGATTGGACTATGCCAATGTTTAAAACCAAGTATGAGTCCTGTATGATTTTAGGAAGCAGGTATTTTAAAGGTTATGCAATACTTTTATACTTCAAGGAATATACAACTTACGTCAGTCTAGCTACACTGTAGAGACAGATTTGTGTTTCTAGGTGAAAGTTCATTAACCCACCACAAAGACCAAGTGGGGTTCTTCACAGCCATGCACGGTGGAAAAATGAGAAACAGGCTTAAATTGCAAAAAGGAGGTTCAGACTGGAAGAGGCCCAGATCTCTCTGTCCTAATGAGGACAAGTCAAGCAGGAGTGAGTAACTCAAAGAGCTTGTGCAGTCTCCATTCTTAGAGGTTTTCAAGAGTCAGCAGGACAAAGCCCCCACTGACCTGATCTGACCTGATAGCTGACACTGCTTTGAGATGGCAGACCTCCTGAGGACCCTTCCACTCTGAAGGATCCTAAACCATAAAATAATTTGCAGCACACCTTGGAAATATTCAGAAACTAATGACAAATTCAGTGCAAATAAGTAAAAAGTTATATTATTCCTTGTATCTTTATAGGAAACTAACAGACTTGAAAAGCTTGGTATCTATCATGCCAATTAGGATTTCTTATTCTGATTGACCACAGTGCATATGTAATAAATAAATACATACTTACTTATGAAGAGTAAAAAGAACTCCAATTCAGTTTCAAGCAAATTTCTGGCAAAATATACCAGTTTTAAGAATCTAAGCTTTAGAGTTCTTACCAATGTTTTATTTCATAGGCATTGTGACACAGGTGCACAACGAACTTGCTTTGTTACAACTCCAACAAAGTTCAAATTTTTTTAGAAATGCTTTTATGTTATATGTAGGCAATTGAGAAGAGAAAGAAATTCAGCTCCCAGGGAATGGCCTCCACTGCAGCTCTATGTTCAGGAATGTGAGAATAATTCTTGCTGACTCTCTAGAAAAGTGCAGTTATCAATACCGAACTTCACTGGCTTTCTAAAAATGTATGCCACCCCTCCTTCTCACTCTGGATTCATATTTGAGGAATTTTCACTGCAGCATCAGGAAGAATGGTTTTTATTCTTCCCCAAACAATGCGCTGAACTCTGCTGACCGCTGGAGTGATGAGAGCGATAAAAGACCCGATGCAGCCATGCAGCGGCAATTCATGCTAAACCTAGACGCTGGTATTTAATTCAACGGGAGAGATTCCCCACCAGGCTTGACAATGGAGCCTTAAGCATGACAGAGAGAAAGAATTAACGTGGCTTAGCCGCCACAAAGAATTTCAGCTGAAACAACATGTCTGAAAACTTTTTGCTGATAACAAGAGAAACTCAGCATATTGAAAAACACTTCTTTTGGGTGAAATACTTCTTAGCTGACGAAACACTTGAACACATACGGGGCCGAAAAGTTAAAAAACCAAACTCCTGTGTGGCAGCAGAGAAGGACCTCGGTCCCGCTCCTGCCGGCCGGGCCGGGGCGGGGGCACGGAGGGAGCGCACACAGCAGCGCTTCCATCGCGCCAGGCACCCGCTCTGACCTCCTTCGGGAGCCGCCTCCGCTCCCGAGCCACCGGGAGCCGGCCCCCCACACGCCGCTGCCGCCACCGGGGCCGCGCTCCGTCACGCCGGGCGGCTCAGGCGGAGCCAGCCACGGCCAACGGGGACAAGCAGCCCTGGCGACGGTCCCACACGGGCCACGGCGGGGGCGGCCTCGAGGGGCGGCAGCGGCGCCGGACACGCCGGGGCGGGCGCCGGGGGGAGTAACGGGACCCTTCGCCCCTCACGGGCCAGGGGCCGGCGCGGGCCCTGCGCCCGCCAGGCAAAACGGCCGCCACCGCCCGGCGCCGCCGCTCCCAGCGGGGCAAGGCCCGGGCCGCCCCGGCGGCAGCTGGTGCCGCTGCTCACACGTGGGGCTCGCCCGGCCCCGCCGCCTCCCTGCCCCCCTCCCTTCCTCCCTCCCGCCCGCCCTCCAGCGAGGCCCGGCGGGTCTGACAGGCCGTCTCGGCGGCCGCGGACGCGGCGGCCCCGTTACCTCGGCCTGCTTGCGGACCGCATTGTCCGGGCTGAGCAGGTTGCCGAGGAGGGCGTAGAACTGCTCCTGCTCCGTCGCCGCCATTGCTGCGAGAGGGAAGGAGAGGGAGGAAGGGGGAGCGCCGGCCGCGCCGCCGGCGGGGGAGCGAGGGGCGGGGCCGCAACGCCAGCCGCGCTCCCATTGGCCGCGGCGCACGGAGCCTCGCCCCCGATTGGCCCTGCCTCCCTTTGACGTCCCGGCGGCTCGGGGCGAGGCGGGCAGCGGGGAGCGGCGGCTCAACCGCCCCTCAATGGGGGTTTGTCTCCTCGCGTGTCATTGGTGCGCCGCCGCGCCGGGGGCGGGAGGCAGGCGCGGCGGAGCGCTCTGATTGGCGGGCGGCTCCGGCAGCCCGGGCGGGATTGGCCGGAGCCGCGGTCGGGCGGTGCGGGCAGGGAGGGGTCGCGCCGGGACGCGGAGCTGGGGCCGGGCCGGGCCGGGAAGGGGAGGGGCGGAAAGCGCGGGAGATCGCGGGGCGTCGCCTCCGGGCGCTCGGTGACGTCGTGCTGCTGTCCCGCCACTGGGAATCAGTGAGTCACGGGACGGGTCAGGTTGGCAGGGAGCTCGGTGATATCGGCCCGAGCTCTCTGCTCAGGCAGGGTCGTCCTGGAGCGCATGGCGCAGGATTGCGTGGAGACGTTTATTGAGTATTTCCAGTGACGGATACTCCACGGCCTCTCGGGCAGTCTGCTCCGGTGCTCAGTCACTCGCACAGTGAAGAAGTTCATCCTCACGTTCAGGTGGAATTTCCCGTGCACGGTCTCTGCCCGTCGTCTCCTGTCCATTGCTCAGCCCCACCGAGCTGAGCCTGGCTCCAACACCGTGGCACCCTCCTTTCAGATACTGATAGGCATTGATGAATCCCCCTCTCAGCCGTCTCTTCTCGAGGCCAAGCAGGCCCAGCTCCCGCAGCCTTTCCTTGTAAGAGAGTTGCTCCAGCCCTCTCATCCTCCCTGCTGGACCATTCCAGGCGCTCCATACTTCTCTTGTACTGAGGAGCCCAGCACCGGACACCGCACTCCAGATACGGCCTCACCAGGGCTGAGCAGAGGGGCAGGACAACTTCCCCTGATTTGCTGGCATTGCTCTTCCTAATGCACCCTAGGATACCATTGGCCTTCCTGGGCACAGGGGTGCTGGTGGCTCGATGGACCAGCATCACCAGGTCCTTCTTTGAAGAGCTGTTTGCCATTAGGATCAGCCCCCAGCCTGGGGCTCATTCTTCCTCAGCTGCAGGACCTTGCGTTGGCTCTCGTTGAGTTTCAGAAGGTTCTTCTCTGCCCATCTCTCCAACCCACTGAGGTTTGAATAAAACTTAATTAGTATTCCCTTTGATCTCAGGGGATATGAGGGGATATGACATCATGGGTTCATGATGTGCATGGCAAGAGGCTTTGAGCATTACCCTGCTCATTGGTGGGGTTCTGTTCAGCCAGCTGTTTGGGGTGCACCAGCCAGCTGTTCGGGGTGCAGCTGTGGGAGTGGCTGGCCGGGTCAAGTACCTCCTTCTGCTGTGCCTTGGCTGTGCCCAGGGAATAGCAATGCCTTAAAAGCAGGAGGAGTCAGCCAGTGAGAAGGGGAAAGGGAAAGGGAAAGGGAAAGGGAAAGGGAAAGGAAAGGGGAAAAGGGAAAAGGAAAACGGAAACATCCATCTTGACTGCATCAAGAAAGAATTGGAGGCAGGGCTAGAGAATTATTTTAAGCTGTCTGAAAATTCAGAAGGGCCATAAGTGAAGATGAAACAGAAAAGCAAGCATGCTTTCTAATGTGAAGTGCACTCCTGTAAATGTCCTCAGACCTCGACTATGTGTTTGTACAACTTGTTACACATTCTGGAGGGCCTTTTGGATGTCTTCTTGATATTAGGCATGGTTTTCCTGCCTTTTTATCACCTGTAAACAGGTTTGTATGAACTTCTATAACATTGCTGTCTGCTTCCCATGCATAAACAAATAAATGCGTTTGCTTTCATCTTGACTTGTCTTAATGGTGATTTTACCATAAATCTGTAGTAGGATTGTTAGCTAAAGAATACAATATCTGATGGGGGTTGGGGAGAAAATGTAAACTGCAGGATATGGAAGATTGTTTTCTTACTCCTGCTGGTTTTTGCATCTGTAGATGCAGGGAGTGGGTTGTTATATAAAAACTGCCTAGTTGTCTTTGAGAAACAGCAAGGCGTATGAAATGTGCCTAAGGCCTGAAAAGCAGTTGTCAAATTATCTTTGGAGTACCAGCGATGAGCATCAGATTCCAGTGGAGCTCCCTTGGAAGGGGAAGGCCAGGAAGGCAGGAACAACCTGATGCAGTTGATTAGAGCAAGCCAAGTAAGAGTGTCTATGTGTGTCTGTTTCTGCTTTTGTGTGTGTAATGATCAATAAATTTAGTAGTGTAATGCTCTAGGAATACATTTGAATACATTTCACCCTAATATTCAAAGCATAGAAGGGAGCATCTATCTGGGTTCAGAAGAACCTGCTGGTAAACTCAGAGGATTAATGATGTTCCACCTCAAATCCTGACAGTTTGGGGAAGGCAGATTAAAAACTTCACCTAGGTGAAAAGCAGTTAATATATTGGAGAGAGTCCCAAGCAAACAAAGTTGTCACTAATGCCATGTGATCAGAGTCTGCCACATCAGGTGCTCATTCTCACTCAGGACAAGTTTGAAGCTTGGGAAGCAGCCAGAAACTATGCCAAAGAAGCAGGTATTAGCACTAAAGAGGGTTTGAACAAGCACCTGAGGAGAGCTCAAATAGAAACAGCCACAAAGCAGCCAGCATCAATGTTGATATTGCTGGATATTGCCAGATTCCTGCAGTCTGTTTAAAAACAACAACAACAAAACTACAACAACAAACAACAACAAACAACTACAACAAATGACAACAACAACAAAAAAAAAAGGACAGGAGAAAGTACGATAGCAGAAATCTGAATTACCTTGACCTCTTCTAAACACTTAAGGCCCGCAGTGTTGGTATTGCTGGATATTGCCTGATTCCTGCAGTCTGTTTAAAAAACAACAACTACAACAACAACAAAAAAAAGACAGGAGAAAGTACGATAGCAGAAATCAGAATTACCTTGACCTCTTCTAAACACTTAAGGCCCAAGATGTGTGTTGCACTGTAGTTTATCCAATGAAATTTGGACAGACCCTGAAATTGAAAATTCAAGTCTTCAAAAAGCAGAAGCTTTAGTTTAGTATTTATTAAACTTCACAACTCTGCACTTATAAAGAGAGGGAGCGCTAGAAAACTATTTATTATACCTGAGGAATGCTATGTTTCTTACAGAGTAGTAGGAGATGTGAAATGACAAACAAAATAGGAAAGGTGTCTCAGAGTCTTCTAAAATACTTTCTGATGTTGACTTACAGGTGAAGGGTTTGACATGTCTATCTTTCAACATTCAGAAGCAAGGAATGAGATGAAGGTGAAGAAAGATACAGAAAAGAATATACAGCAAAATAAATTCAACTGTATTTGCAAAGCACCATAACAGGTCAGCTCTGTCATATGAGGAGATTTACCATAAGCTTAAAGTGACTGTTGATGGTCCATATGGATTCCATATACTGTACAGATCATAAAAAAGTGCAACCATGATAGCCTCAGAGGCCAGAGAAGAGTTAGAAAGTGCATGAGGGCAGATTTCCAGCAAAAGCCAAGAGAGCAGAGTAAGCTGATGTCAGTGGGAAGCTATGCTCTAGCGGGGGCTGTTTGAAGTTATCTTGGCAGAGCAAGCTCTCTGCAAAGAGCAGGCAGTGTCTGAAAATTGCTCTGGCCAACATGTGGGGTGAGGCGGAGAACTACAACCCTGACAGTAATGTCTATCAGTAGTGGACTACAGTTTTCACAGATTTTTGTCTGTTCATCTGTTTCGTGTGCTCAGAGCTCAGAAAGGGCACAGGTCTGTTCCTGTGCCTAAAGCAGGGGGATGGGATCCCTGTAACTATAAAGGATGCTGAGAGAGATGCTGCTCTTTCAATTCTACTCCAAGAAACCCTGACCTGTGGCTTCTTACTGGTTCTCTGTGTTGGTAAGGCAGAGCTGGGAGGTGATACAACAGTGTCTAGCCACAGGCTGAGTGGTCTATTAGACTGGAGAGCATGCTGGAAGTCAGGAGGATAGCCATCAACCACTAATGAGATCCAGAATTCTTGTATGGGAACTTTCTGAAACCATTGGAATGGTTAATAAGCTTAATTACAAGGCAGGAAAGCTTCACATGCAGCTTATTCTGGAGGACCTACACACTGCAGGCTTGAAAAGCTTTGAACATCCTGTAGAGCTGCAAAGAGGCATCCCATACTTCCCTCCTCCCAGGTCTACTCACTGAAGTCAGATATCCCTTGGAGGACATCAGACTGAGGAACTGACGTGAAATTTTTCTACTCCCAGAAGGCAAAACGCAGAGGGACTGGTATATTTGTCTAGGAGTATTTTCTGAACAAGTATACCTGTTAAAAAGTTCACTCTAACCTCACCAGAGACCACTGGACAGTGCAGAATTAATGATTAATGAAGTGTAAAGGGCTGGGATAACCTGTGGAGATAAGTGACTTCTTGAGCAGGGCTCTGTCCCAGGTCATTTTACCAAAGAGTGTTGCAGTGGAAGAAGTAGGAGACAAGGCTTTTTTGTGGATTACAGATAATACCACACTGAGGCTGTGCCTGCTGTGTCACAAGACAAGGCAGATAATTTACTGAGCAGCCTGAGCAATGCTAAGTTCTACAACCTGCCAAGCTTCACAAAGCTGCACATGCACTTAAAAAAATAGTAGTTTACATGCATGATGAATGTAAGCCTTTGAGTTCCAGACAATTACTGTGATTTTGTTAATTTAGGAGGCAACCTTCTGGCACTTAAAAACCCAGTGTTCATAGAACTGCATTATTTGATGTATTGATAATACATAGGCTGAGAAGAGTGCAAAACCTGTGGGGTTTGAATTGAAAAAAATGGATAAATTATGAAAAAGTAGCACACTTTTAGTCAATAACAGCAAGAAGTGGTAGGGGGAGATGTTACTGCTCTCAGAGAGACTAATACAAAGACGCAGGGAATTAGCTTGTAAAAAAAAAGACCATTCATGCAGTTTCTTTTTTAGAATAGAATT